AAACTCTGTAGAAAGTCTCTCTTTAGGAATTTAAACCCCACATAGTCTCTAATGTGAAAAGAAGGGAGTTGGGGGGTAGGAGAGGGTTACTCAGCTACTTGGTGTTCAGGGAGATAGGTGAGCATGCCAAGAGTGAGGAGACACCTCCCTTTTCTACTCCTTTGGGAATGTCCATCCTTCACCGGCTGCCTGATCTAGTGTATCCAGGCAAGATCTTCTCAATGCTCTGCTGTCCTCTCTCCAGAGTCCGTTACTGGAAAAGCTCTGGCCTCGTTCTGTATAGCTCAATCCTACAGTGGGGTCTCAGGTTAGAAAACAAGATTACTTCTCTCCATTCAACTGTTAATCCCTAGTGGCTTCCCGGGCCCTTTCCTGTTTATGTCACAATTACCTTCTTGCTCAGATCTACCCACCCACAGCCCTGCTCCCAGGTCTTATGGATTTAGAAATACATACTCATTTAAATATCAAACAGAAGAAAAACATAATTAGTGGTCGAACTTCCTGCCACAGAAAATTTTCGAATAATTGGCTTTTGGGAGTGGTCCGGGCTGCTTCTCTATTACTGAGACAAGGACCCCAAAGATTACCAAAGAATCTTAGAGCTGGAGTGAACCGGTGAGCAGCCTGAGGCTCCTGCGGGATGATTCAGAGCGTGGGGTTAGGAATTGAACTTACTTGGATTCTAATTCCAGCCCTGCCACTACTTGTTCAATGGTTCTCAACGTTGAACATGCAACGGAATCACCTGTAAAACTACAACTTGCTGGACCCCATTCCTAGAGTTTCGAACTATGTAGGTCTAGGGTGGGACCCAAGAATCCACATTTCTAAGAAAGTATCAGCTGATGCTTCTTCTGGTCCGGGGACCACATTTTGAGCAGCACTCTCCAGCTGTGTCATCAGCCGCCTCCCGTGTATATTCCAGATAATAATCGTAGGTATTTGCTGGGGTGGGGTTTCCCTGAGACCTGGCACATAAAGACCTTAGCATTGTTCGTGGCACACAGTTAATATCTGCTCTTGTTGATGGAGGGGAGGAGTCATTTGCCCTAGACCACCCCGCCGGTAAGAAGCAAACCTGGGACGGAGCCCCGGGGCGCCTCACAGCCCCGCGGCGTTTCTTCGCTCCAGCGCCGCTGCCTCCGGGCTCCGGGCGCTCGGGCCGCTCAGCCACTGAGCCCGCGCGCCGCACACGCGGCTGCCGCCACCACCGGCGCCTCGGCTCACGCCTGTCTTTGGGATGGCTAGGGCGCTCCAATCTTCATTGGCGCCGAGAGCCTGGCGGCGGAGGCTGCACCCCGGAGTTTGCTGAGATCTGGAGAAGCTGGAGCAGCCGGGCTCCCAGCAGCGGCCGGCGGGTGGGGTGCATGGGGCCGGGGGCGGCCCGGGAGCAGCCTGGCGTCCCGCGGCGCGCAGCAGCCCTCGGGGGCGCGCTGGGTGGCCCCCTGCACCTGGGCCGGGAGGGGCGGGTAGGACGCGCCCCGGCGGCCGGGCAGGGCCCGCCCCGGCCCCGCCCTCCAGGACATCCCGTCGGGAAACCGTCGAGCTGCAAGGCGGCGCGGCTGTGGCTCAGCCTGGACGCGACAGGTAAGAGGCAGAAGCAGCCTGCGACCCTCACATGGCCCCGCCACCCTCTCCCGGACTTGGGAACTCAAAGCTCTTCCGCTTCTTGGGACTTCCTCCCATCAGTCGAGCTCGCTTCTGCCAAGTCCTGGCTCCCCACCTCTCCCCTCCGCCGACCTTCTTCTCTTCCTCCTTCTCCTCACCACCCTCCACAGTAAAATGAAGGGGCAGGACCGGACTGGTCCGTCTGTCGCGGTGGCCTCTAGCGCCTCCCTCGGTGGGACACCCCCCAGCCCTTGCACCTTTGCATCTTACTTAAAGGATGAAAGAAAAGCCCAGGTCTCTGGGACTTGGAGAGATGGAGTGGAAGAAGAACAAGTCACAGCACTCCCTCTTGGGCTCTGCAGCCTCAGCCCTTCACCCAGCCCTGCCCCAGCATTCCTTCTGTGCCCCATCGCCCCACGCCGGGCCACCCTCCCTACAGAAAATCTTTCAGAGAAGTTCCCTTCTGCCAGTGCCCCGTTGCTCCTGAGGAGAAGGGGAAGGTGGCTAGAAGCCTCCCTGGTGGAGAAGGGTCCTCCTAGAGGCTTGGGCCTTTTGGGGGTGGGAGCTGTGTACCCAGTGTTGTGGGGAGGGAGTTTGATGGTTGTTCATGACTGTGACTGTCACCAACTTCCTGATTTCCTGTCACTTGTTCCAAACCCCAGGCTAACTGAAAGGAGAAACAGTTTGTTACTTACCCCCAGAGCCAGTCATCCCAGACCCTGACCTCTCCAGAGGGTAAGACAGGGCTCTCCTGTATGTATGGGGTGGGGGTCAATTTGCCAGCAAAGCTTGAAGCAGATCCCTCTATTAGCCAATAATCCGTTGCGACATTCTCAGGGAGGAGGGTTCTAATGCTGCACTCTCAGTGCACGGCCAAACCCACAAACGCAATTTACAGACAATGGATGAGGTTAACAGCTCTGACGCACTATGAACCTGGGGCTTTTGCTCATTTTGCCAGAGACATATGTGCACCATCCACACCCTATTCTCCTAACAGATTAACTGTGTCCCTACCCATCCCAGGAGGGGTGAAAAGGATGAGACAGGCAAATGCATGTGATGAATAGTACAAGCTAAGGTAAGGGGTTTGAAATATACTGTGGTTCAAATTAGCCAGCAGAAGCCAGTGTCATTGCAGGTACTTCTCTAGCTCTTGTTCCCCAACAATGCCGTTCACTTTAGGCACCCAAAGGTAACAAGAGAAAATAATTTCAGGGGCATCAGGGCAGTAAGCAGGGTAGGGCTGTCAAAGGGAAGAAGTAGTCTGGAGCTGGTGAAACCATGAAGGATACTGGGCTGCCCGAGACGGCCTCACCCTTGTTAACTGCTGCCCACGGTTAGCAGGACAGCTGACTCCTGCCCGCAGCAGCATAGAACTCAGTCCTGAATAGGGGAAGCCCTGATGCATGTCAGATGCCATCTGAGATCAGAAACATCTTAGCCCAAGTTCAGTTGGGAGAAACCTGAACAGGAGAAATAACCGTGGGCTTAGCCCATGTAGTCATTGCCTAGGACAGAAATCAGGAATAGAGGGACAGCTGGCTAACCCTAGGGCTGGGGCGGTGGGTGTAATGGAGGCAGGCAGCTGCCTCAGCTCTGTCACTAATTTAGCTGTCTAACCTTGGCCAGATCACATAAACACTCCCTGGGTGGGGAGCACTTGGGAAGGTGTATATGAAAATGCTTTGGCAAAGCTCCAAGCACCAGCCAAATGCAAGGCAGTGTGGTATTGTGGTTAAGACAGTGGGCTTTAGACAGACATGGGCCTGAGAGCAAATTCTGCCTCTGCCACTTCCTAGCTGTGTGACCTTGATCAGGTTACTTAACCTCCCTGTGCTTCAGCTTCCTTATATGTAAAATGGAATAGGTAACTGTTTCTTGACTTGATATGGTAAGTAGTAATATTAAAAGTGGTGATGGTGTTGTCTCTGGAAGTGAAGCTGAGGACCAAAGCGAGTGTCTGTGCACCAGCGTGGCCCAGTGACTCTGCCCAAAACTTGGGTGGACTTGGCTCATCAGACAGCCCTCTGCCTCTCTCTGCGAAAACCCCCAAGGTCTGTCCTCATTTGATGGGAATGAGAGTGAGGGTTTGAGTAAATGAGAGGTCAAGTGCAGGGCAGTGCCTGTCTCTGTGTCGCGCTCAATGCTGTAATTGTGCTTGTGTAAAAAGGCTTGCCCAGCGAACAAGGATGGGCTCAGTCTGGGGAGAAAAAGGACTGTTAGGAGACTCTTTTGTGGCACCTGACAGCCTTGGGAGGTCAGGTTATTCTCCTGTCCCCTGTGTAACCTGGTCCTGAGGCCTAGGTAGAGATTTGAAGAAAGGAGGAAACCCAATCCTCACCCTCAGCTCTGAAACAGAGAACAAAGAACAGACAGACAGGGGCAGTGGAATAGCATAACCAAATGCCTCAGAATTCAGGGATGCCGTGGGGGTTGGAGGGCTAGGTGGATTGGTCCGGGAAAACATTCTAGAGGCAGAAGATTGGGGACCAGGATTTAAGGATGGGAAAGAGAAAGAAAACAGAACCTAGTGGCCTAATGTCTAGACCTGTTGGTTCTCCTTCCCCTGTGACTTCTCGTGGGGCAGCCCCACAGGGGAAACATTGGGTAGCGAAACTTACAACTTATACACCTGGATACTGAGGGCAGCAAGATGCGCTTTAGTCTAAGAAGGCTTCTTGGAGGAGGGGACTTCCGGGTAAGAATTTGAAAGAGAAAAGGAACATGACTTGCCTAGCAAGAATATAAGGGAAATGCTTTGAAGAGGAAAAGATCACCAGTAAGGGTGAGCAGCAAACAGGAAGCAGGCTGCCCAGGCCATTTCTGCAACAACCAAATGGTGCTAAAGGAAAGGGAATATGGCTGTTCTGATTGTGAAAAGGAGAGAGAGGCCTGGGGCAAAGGAGGCTGGCAGGCAGCTTCTGCTGATCCTCCAGATCTTGGGCGATAAGAGCACAGTCTCAGATGACAGTTTTGAGAGTGGGGAGGAAGAGGAGGATCCAGGAAGCAGAGAATGAATCAGCAGGGCTTGGGAGTGGGCCTGGAGCGACCCTGGCATTGAGAACGGTTTAAAAGCTCCATGCGTGGGAATGGAGCAAGGGCAGGGATTGTTTCGAGGATTTCGATGCTGCTGGCAGCAATGGGGATGTTGGGAAGGCTGGCTAGCTTAAGTGGGCAGCATACAGACCCTGAGTTCACATTGAATACCAGCAATCCTACAGCCAGGAGCACACTGTGCAGTAAGGAGAGAAGGGAAAACTTCAGTTCTGTCCTCTCCCATCACTTACCCCCCAATCTAGAGACCATCGCAAGGCTTCAGGAGTACCCCTCCTTTTAAATCCCCCGTTCCTTTCCCTCTGTCTTCAAGCTGATGGATGATAAGACTCAATTCAAGACCCTTTTTTTGCTTTCTCTCAAACCCAGCCTGATTGTCACCGGTATTCCTAGGTGATTAGGGAATCCCAGCTTGTGCCCACCTGGGTTCCTCCTTCATCCCTAGATTCCAAGGAGTCTCAAGGCTCAATTTGAGAACAGTTGCATGTCCTTGCTCCACTTAGCAGGGCCTAAAGTTCCTCCAGTAGGGAAAATAAAATCCTGCTTCATCACATATTTTGATTTTCAGTGACTTTTACAAACCTAGAATAAGTCAACAAATATTTACTGAGCGCCTACCATATGCCAAGCACATTCTAGGTATACAGAGCAAAGTTAGGTTGGGTTTTTCAGTTGAAAATGTGTATTTGGGTAACTAAAGTTTAAAATATTATGCAAACAAAACAGGAACCTAGATCTGCTGGGGAGAAAAGTTGATAGACTAGCTACTGAAAGAGCTTTCAGTGCGTCTTTCTGAGAAAATAAGCCCCGGACTGCAGCTTTAGTCTTGGGGGAAAGCCGAAGTGTCTTGAAGGTGTAATTATGGGGAAAAGTGAAAACCTCCCGGCCTTCTGTAATCAAAAAGGTCAGAGGTGGGAGGAGGGGTTTAGAGGAGATAATCGCTACTTTGTTCACAGCATGAGAACAGAGGAAGTGAAATGAGTGCTGTGTTTGATGGTGAGAACGTGCTTGCGGGGGAAGAAAAAGAGAATCATTTGTCCAAAACAGCCTCTTGGCTCCCTCCCACAACCAGTAACTTGAAATTGACCTGTCCCCTCCCCAACTTGATGTCTAGCTCCTCCCTACACCTGCGCCCTGAGTGAGAGTGGCCATAGTCATCACTTTTCGAAGAAACCTTTAATTGAGCGGTAGTCTGACTAACTTGAGCAAACATCCCTGTTGGTGGTGACTGCTAACTTCCTGACTGCCACGTCTCCAACGCGGTCTCCAGGAGGTGAGCAGCTCCACTGATAAACAGAAACTTTGTTACAAAGAGGCCACCTGGCCAGCAAGGGTGTGTTCTGGGTGACTGACCCTGGCTTTCACAAAACCTGAAACTTTGCCTGAGACTTCCAATTACAGCACTTTTAAAGCATTTGTAGTCCTGGGTGGGAGTTGGAGGACGGCAAGCAAGGCAGGGAGAGGGAGGGGACGTGGAGGGAGGGGTCTGTGAGTGGAGTTGGGACTCTCAGGAACACAGTCCTGCCCCAGGTTCCAGGGAGCCAAACCTGGTCCCCAAACTCCCCAGGTGCCCGCAAGGGGGAGGTAAGAGTGTGGGAACAGAGCAGTGACCTCGGAGTTGGGAGATGGGCATCTGCTTCTTGGAGTCATGAGCTGTGTGACACTAGAGAACTCACCTAACCAGTGTGGCCTCACTGTCAGATGAGAGTAATGGACTCACAGACAGACCTAGTCTAAGTGGCAGACTAGTGTGTAACAACAGAATATCATGTAACTCACATGCTTGTTGGAGTAAGCGCATTCACATCATTTAGTAAAGCCAGTGCTCACCCTTGTGGCTCTAAATGGGTCATGCTTACCCCTCTGGCCTCAACTCATTTAACAAGAGTTTATGGAATACCTGCTACATGCAAAACTTGTGCTAGACTTTGCAAGCAATAAAAAGGCGAAAACAACCTGTCTTCTCTGGTCCAGGAATTGGCACGAAAGTGTGAGAGAGGACAGACTCCTCTGACATGAGACAGGCTATGATGAGGCCAAAGTAGAAGTATAAATGGTTTGCTAAGGGGTGAGACAGAGGAGAGAGGAATTCTGCTAGAGATCTAGGAAGGCTTCTTGGAGGAGGCTAGGATGTAAAAGGGAGGGATTGGACTCCATCACCAGCTTTTTGGCTGGACCAAAGTAAGAAAGACATTTTACAAGAAAACTTTGTACTCACAGGGGACAGGGTAGCCTAAAAGTCAGGGAAGTTTTACGTTTTAATCGCAGAAGACATATGAATTCTACAAACTAAACAAAAAAAATCATTTGGAAATGTTATAATTTAAATTTCTTTTACCTTTGTGAATTTTGAATAACAAATTTTTCATTTTCATTTTACATCAAGAAATGTTTCTCATCTTCAGTAGACAGAGGCAAACATTAAAATAAAAATTTAGTATTCAAACTTCATAAAAATAAGGTGAAAGAAATTTAAATAAAACTTTCCTTGATGTTCTTTGTAAGTCTGCAGCATGTATGCTTCTGGAGTTATTAAAGCTTAAAACTGCACTAGGACTTCCGGTGCACTCTATATATGTATATATAATAACTGAAATGAAATTTTAACAAAACCATTCATACCTATATTACATGTGATGCACTTTAGTGTTTTCTTTTTTGTTCTATTCTAGTCTGATCTTTTAAAGAATTTTTTTTCCTGCTGATTTGCAACACTTTAAATTTATTTCACAATCCTATAATGAGTTGCAGCCAACGGTTTGATAGACATGGCACTGAGTGAAGCCTCAGTTCCCTTATACCAGTGGGAGAAGGTAAACTTGTGTTCTGACTGGTGAGGCCAGGAAAGCAGGTCCAAACTGTTCAGTCTAGGAAATCTTCCTGGAGGATTTCTGGCATCATCTCAGTACTACAACCAAGATCATCTGATGTGTTGCAATCCCACGGGTGGCTGGAGAAAAGAGTTGGGAATGAACACTCCGAAGCAGCAGGAAGGGAATCAGTGGGTGAAGATGGGGGCATACTTGCCGGTGGACCCGGTGGCCAGCAGGAAAGTGAGGGAGTTGCACGAGACACTGCGGGGAGGATCCTGTGAAGCCTTGCACTTGACAAAGGGCTATGTACAATAGGGGCTCTTTCTTCACCGAGGCTGGTGACCTCCTCTACCTTGCTAGCCACTCTTCTGGAAATCCTCTCGTACACAAAGAGCAGGAATCCTTAAACACAAAGTCTCTGGCTTCAGTCAGATTATGTTCCTCTTCTAAGGAAACTTTCCTATGGCCCACTTGCTGAGCAAACAAACCAGAGACCGAATCCGTTATTGCCACGGCTAATCACAGGTATCCTGTTTCATTGCAGGATGTGGTTAGTACCTTGAGGAACTGTAGGCTCCAGGGAGAAAGCCTTTACAGCCAGGTTGTATGAGAGAGCAGATGGCTGGGAAGGGCTCAATTTAACCTTAAGTCTCTCCCTAGGAGGGAAAAAGGAACAAAGGCAAACCAGACTGCCAGGGGCCACGAGGCAATACCAAGATGAGGGCGTTGGAGTGACCTGGGTGATTCTGAGTGAGTTTATCAGGGAGGCCTTCCTGGAGGAGGTGAGTTTTAAGCACTTGGTAGCAGCTTGTAACTAAGCTTTACTCGTTTTATTGTGCTTCACCTTATTTCGCTTCACAGATACTGCGTTTCTTATAATTTGAAGGTTTGTGGCAACCCTATATAAAGCAAAGCAAGTCTATTGGCACCATTTTCCCAACGGTGTTATTTCTTAATTAAGATATGTACATTGGGTTTTTTTTTTGACATAATGTTGCACACTTAATAGACTACAGTATAACATAAAGATAACTTTTTTCTCATATTTAAGTCTGAGCAATTTAATTTCTGTATGGCTGCCTTCTAATGACAATGATTTTTAATTATTCTATTCCTTACTAGAATGGTGTTTTGTTATTTCCACTTTAAAATTTATGTGCTCTTCTTTTCCCTATTGTCATTGTCCACATTTGCAGAGGCTTACAAAGTAAACATAACTTTTATATGCACTGGGAACCCAACATTTTTCATGACTTGCTTTATTACGATATTCGTTTTATTGAGGTGGTCTGGATCCAAATCCACGATATCTCCAAGGCATACCTGTATGTTTCTAACTGTGCTCCCTCTTTCTTGCCGGAGTGGGAAGGTAGACAAAGCATCAGGGACAATGAAGCCTGCAGGATGGTTCGACACTGCCATGGGAAACACTTCCGGTTCTGGGGCCCTGTGTCTGTGCGTGGCTGGGGCAATTACAGAACTGATGAGGTGTCAAGGTCAAACAGAGCCCTTTGTGCTGGCCCAGCACATCTTAACCCCTGGGGCAGGAAATGACACTGAATCCCCATTTCCTCCTTGAAACTTTCTTCCAGCCCATAGGGACCTCTACCTTTTTCAACATGTCTGTGTTACTACGTAGTTCTAATTTTATTGATTTTTGAATAGGCGGGGTTTAATATAGTCGGGGTTCAAAGTGCAGAAGGGTATCCAGTGAGTGCTCTTTTTTCTGCTCCTGTTCTCTCCCTGGACAGGTGCTGCCTGGACCCAGTGCTATCAGATCTTGTTCTCCAACTAGACTTTAAAACCCCGTGGGGTAAGGGGTGTCTCATACCTCTCTGTGTCCCTCTGTGTCCCAGCTGGGGTGAATTATCCCATCCATCACCCAAGGGAGTTTTCCTAGCATCACATCCTCCCTCCTCATCAGCACTGCTAGTCTCTTGGGTCAGACCCCCAAACTCCTTGTAACTGGGTATCCAGCTGCCAGGCAGGTTCATCTCCTGGACACCCTCCACCGGCTGTCATACTGCTCTTCTGGTAATGCCAGGCTCCCCCCTAATCCTTATTGCTCCCCATACCTCAGATCAAGGACAAACTCCTTGCCATGGTGGCGTGGTTTCAGCTGCCTCTCCAGGCCCATCCTCTGCTACTGCCATCAGACTTTGCACTCCCACCAAACCCAATGACTTGCGGTTCTCTGATTGGCCAGGCTGTCTCCTGCCTCTAGGGCTTTGTATGTGCTGTTCCCTCTTACCGAAATGTGCTCATCCAACTGGCCAACTCTTACTCGTGGGCTAGTGCTCAGCCCACACTTCTCCCCCGAGGGACCTCTTCACAAACACCCCCTCACCCACTTGCTGAGTTGACCGCATCCCTCTCGCTCAGCCCCCAAGGGTGCCTCCTGCATGCTGTCTTCTCACTGGGTGATCTCCATTTAAAATCTGACCCCCTCAGTTGACTGTCTTCTCCTTGATGGCTGGGCTTGCTCATCTCTCTGTCTCCTCCACCTGGCAGAGCACCTGGCGTACAGCAGGGAGTCTGTTAATATGGCAGAAGGAACAGATCTCCTCTCTCATCTCCCAGACATGACCTGATATAAAATAGACGCCCAAAGAGATTTCCTTTGATTTGATTTTTGATGCTCTGCTGAATCTGATGTTATAAAAGAAAACCACCTGCCTCCCCCAGCCCAAAGTGACCCCTGCTCACCCTTGACACCGTGACAGACACATGTTCTCCAGATCCAGCTGACTCCGGACACCAGGCTTCTCCATAGGCAGGAGCTTCTATGTTTAAAAACGGCACGAAATAACTCAACTGGAATTACTTTTAAGTAAGACGGGGTAATGATGGCCAAGGATCAGATGCTTAAGGATACTTGCTGGGAAGCTGAGCAGGGATTCATTAATGATAATAGTAGAAATAATTGATACTATTTGCTGTGGGCTTGGTATGTGTCAGAAACGCTGCCGAGTATCTCACATGCATTATTTCTGACTTAATCATCACCGCAACCCTGTGGGTTAGGAATTATTTAGCCCCACCTTATAGATAAGGAAGTTGAGGTTTAGAGAGATTGTCATTTGACCAAGGGTTACACAGCTGCTAAGAATAAGAACTCACACTTTCTGAGCACATACTGCGTGCAGAGACTGCTAAGCTTTTTCCGTGAATTATTTCATTGAACTTAATCCTTACAGCAAACAACCCTAGGAGGTAGGTGCTATTATTATTAGAAGCGGCAGATCCAGGATTTGGGCCCAGGCCTGTTGCCACCAACATCTAGTGCTTACCCTGTGGGCCTTAATTTTATAGAACCTGCCACAGAAAGTTTTGCAAACACCCTTCCTCAGAGCTGTGGGGCCACGTATGTGGGGGTAGAGGCTGGGGGACAACACTCAAGTGCAGTCCTGCCTGGAAGGTGCTGTCATTATGAATGTAGATTTTTTTAAGATTTTTAAATTAAATATTAGTAGGTACAGAAGAACATTTATAAAAAATGCGTAGGGTATAAAGAATAACAGTACCACCAGCAGCCACCATCCACTTTAAGAAAAACACATCTCACTTCGAAGTCCCCTCTGTGCCTCTCCCATACCTCTCCTCCCTCTTCAGAAACTTTGGTTTCATTGTTTTTTGTTTTGTTTTGTTTATTTAAAGCACACATTTTGCTTTTTGCAGGGGGTACTTTATGGGGGGGTAATCAGGTTTATTTACTTGTTTGCATTTGGAGGAGGTACTTGGGATTGAACCCAGAACCTCATGCATGCTATGCATGCTCTCTGCCATTTGAACTGTACCCACCCCTCCTCATTGTTTAGTTTTCTATCTATGGAGCTCTGCCGCAAATTCATTTTTGTATTCATAAACAATATATTTTTTAGTTTATATGGTTTTAAATTTTCTGTAAGTGAAATCATACTGGATGTATCTTTCTGCAACTTGCTTTTTTCACTCAGCCTCACACCTGTGTTGTCACCTGGAGAAGGGGCTCATTCCGTGCCACTCTGGGCAGTCCTCCGTGCTGTGGCTAGTTCACACTATTTATTCATTCTGCTGCTGGTGGACATTTGGGTTGCTTCTAATGTTTGCCTTTTCGGGTTAGTGCTGCTAGAAACGCTCTTGTACGTGCCTCCTGGCATATGTGTGCCGGGATTTATCTGGGATAGAAAACCCGGGAGTGGACTTGAGAGGTCATAGGATGTGTACATTTTAAATTTTTCGAGAGAATGCCACATTCTCTAGAAAAAGTGGTTAAGCTGATCGAACTTCTTCTCGTAGAGTTTTAGTGTTCCAGTTAGTCTAGATCCATGAATATCAGAATCTTCAGGCAGTAAAGAGATGCCTAGCCCCGCTTCCTCACTTTCTAGACGGAGGAAATTCAGGTGCAGGAGTGAAGTGACTGAGCTAAGGTGACATCGCCATTCAGCACCAGAGCCTGGACTCGAACCCCAAGCCCCCTGACTCCCTTCTCACCCCTACCTTGGCTCATTTTTCTCTCCCATCTCCTCCCTTCTCAGGCTGAGGCCCCAGGGTGTGGCCACCATGACACATCGAGCTATTTCCGGGGCCGGGCTCAGCATTCGGAGCTGACCCAGCCAGGGTCCCTGCTGTTTCCAGAGGATGAGGCTCCTCCGCAGACGCCACCTGGCCGTGCGCCTGGCCTTGGTGGGCAGCGTCTTCATGCTCTTCCTCCTCATCCTGCAGAGGGATGTCAGCAGCAGCGAGCAGGCCACAGAGAAACCATGGCTGAAGTCCTTGGTGAGCCAGAAGGATCACGTCCTGGACCTGATGCTGGGCGCTGTGAACAACCTAAGGGATTCGATGCCCAAACTCCAGATCAGGGCTCCAGAGGCCCAGCAGATGCTGGTCTCCACAAACCAGTCCTGCCTCCCCGGGTTCTATGCCCCAGCTGAGCTGAAGCCCTTCTGGGAACGGCCGCCACAGGATCCCAACAGCCCTGGGGCAGACGGGAAAGCATTTCAGAAGAAAGACTGGACACTCCTGGAAACCCAGGAAAAGGAAAAGGGCTATAAGAAGCACTGCTTCAATGCCTTTGCCAGTGACCGCATCTCCCTGCAGAGGGCCTTGGGGCCGGATACCCGACCCCCTGAGTAAGTAGCAAGTTCTGGGGTGAGGTCAGGGCTCTGCCAAAGGTGTGGCTGGTGTGGCCATGGCCACGGGCCGAGTGCCACGTCAAGAGCTGACGGGGATTTTAGAGTATGGGCAGAGATTTCCACTAAGCCCTCACTTCTTTTCCTGATCAGTTGCCCTTGTCCCAGGCACTGGGGTTCAAGAGTATTATGGCCAGGCCATAAGCCCAGGGAGACCTGTGAGAGTGAAGCACAATTAGGAAGGGGACAGGATACAGAAAAAGGAACTCAGGGCGGGGACCAGACCTGGCCTAAGGGTGACTGGGAGGGACTGACTCCGACCTGCAGGTTCGGTGGCCTTGCCCTCATCTGAGGCTGCCCTGGGGACCGTGGACCCTGCTGCGGAGCTGTTGGGAAAGGGGTGTTTCCTGATAGCGGCCCCCATGGTCAGGACTATCCCCACCCCTCCTGGTTTCTTTCGGTGAAGGCTCACGGGGCCATGAATTCATTCCAGCCTTTACTTGAAGCTGTTTATACTTTCAATCCTCAGCACTTAGGTCTTTGGACTATAGCCACTTCACTCTAATGCGGCCATGGCTGTGTTCATGTTCTCAAGTCGAAGATTTTGTGTCTTTCTCGTTCAGACTTTGTCGTTCCCAAGGGTTATACCCTTTTTAGACTCCTCTCTTGGCAGCCCCCGAGCTCAAATTCAAGATTCTTTAGGGCTGTGAACTTGGGGTTCCTCAGACTCGGACCAAGGATTAGAGTCTGAGGACGTGCAGCCACTCCAAGTTATCAGAACCCTCGGCAGGGAAGGGCACGAGGGCAGCCAGTGGATGAAGTTGGGGAGCCTCCTCTGGACAGTCCATGAGAAACCTCTCTGACTGGCAGAGGGGTTAAGAAAGGCGTGTGAGGCCATAGGATTCCTTGAGATCCAAGATCCACACATTCCCACCCCATCCAAGATGGCGTGTCAAAGAGGACGGCAGTGTGGCCACGTGCGACGGAGTGGATGAGGGTAGAGAAAAGGTCACAGGAGCTCGTTGGTGACAGTAGAATCAGATTTTGGGGAACTCACAAGGAAATGGATGAGAGAACAACTGTAAGATGTGAAGAGGAAAGCCTTTTCCTCTCACTGAGTATGGAACCTGTAGTCACTTTTCTCATGTCACATTGGACTTTTGTTAACTTCCCCTCCGGGACCTCAGGATTGGATTACACTTTATGTGGCACACATTTTACTGAGGAAGAGAGGGTTGGCCTTGGGAACTCCTAGAGCAGATGGGAGAAGCAAGGGGGGGCGCCCTCAGCATCCCAGTGGGTTCTCCAAGCCATCTCAGGGGAGACGGGTTCGGGAGTGGGTTGGTTAGGACCTGCGCAGAGGCTCAGAGGAGGTGGCAAATAGAGGGTAAGCTGGAAACAGGGGGCAGCTATTCCCAGTTCCAGCGAGGAATGCAGGCTAGAGGTTCCAAGGAGCAGAGGTGGTTATGGAAGCCTATGGACATAGCCATCCCTACACCTGTCTCCCAGCGATCTGAAGAGCTGTGTCCACACTTTCATCCTTGCAGGTGTGTTGACCAGAAGTTCCGGCGCTGCCCCCCACTGCCCACCACCAGCGTCATCATTGTGTTCCACAACGAGGCCTGGTCCACGCTGCTGCGAACGGTGTACAGCGTCCTGCACACCACCCCTGCCATCCTGCTGAAGGAGATCATACTGGTGGATGATGCCAGCACAGACGGTGAGGCTGGGGGTGCCTGAGGAGGGGCGTGGGGTCTCCCCTGGTACTCTGGGAAAGAGGGCAGTTTCTCTCGAGGGAGCAGGCACCACCTCACGGCCTGCTGTCCAGCATCACAGCTCATCGTCAAGGCCAGGAACAGGAGGAAGGCAGGTGGGGGACAAGGGCAGGTAGACCACATTCCTGCAGCCTGAACTTCATTCCATGTCACCCCACGAGCTCCAAAAGCTTAGCGGTTCCAGCTTCAAGGACTCTCTTAGAGCTGCCAAGTCCAACCCCAAGTCAGAAATGCCAGGAGCGGTCAGGGCAGAGGGTGGGGCCTTCCCTCTGTTTCCATTCTTCTCTTGAAGATTCCAACTGAGAAGCTTTTTTCACTATAGTCAGTCATAGACAAGTGAGGCTGTTCGCCAAACTTCCACCACTCAAAGCAATTCCACGAACGTCTACTGAGCACTCTGTGCCTGGCGCTGACTTAGATAGAGGGGATAGCACGACAAATGACAGATGAGACAGATCTTGCCCTGAGCAGGCTAACAGTCCTCGGGGTCAGATGACCCCTTACAACACCAGCCACGGCGCTGTGGCCTATGACACACCCCAATGGATGGAAAGCGTTGGATGTGAGAGTCTGACCTCCAGAGATTCAAATCCCAACTCTGCCTCTTCCTACCTCGGTGACATAGGGCAAGACATTTAGCCTCTCTGAACCTCGGTCTCCTCTTCTAAAAATGAAAACAGTTGACTCCCTCACATGGTGGGTGAGGGATCAGAGAGAGGCTGTAAATGAGATCATTCACGTGCTGCAGAGTACTTAGCCTCGAGTGAGAGCTCCATAAGCATTAGCTTCACTTGCGTCTTTGTACGGGAACAGTGCGCTGTGGGAGGTGTCACTTCCTTGTGGCACGGCTGGGGCGGCCCACAGTGGGGGCCCGATTAGAGCTGCGCTTTAAAGCCTGCGGGAGAGAAGAGGTGTTGAAGGGCGTTCCCAGAAGAGAGAAAAGCAGCAGCAGAGCCTTAGGGACACAGGCATGTTTGCGCTGTGGAAATGACACTGAAAAGATGTTGAATTGAAATCCACGTCGTGCTGAATGTATTTAGGCAAAAAATGAGGAGTCATTGAGGGTGCTTAAGCTGGAGAGTGACTTGTCTCAGTAGGATGGCAACTCTGGGGAGGGTAATTGCCAGGAAGAGGAGCCCGAGTCCGGAGGGGAAGTTCTTATAATCACTTGAGAGAGGGATGCAGGGGCCAGACTTGGAGAGGGACTGCGAGACCCACGCATTGGTAGACTGGGGTCCTCCAGGAGCTGAGCCCTCCTCCCAGATGGCACATGGGATCTGGGGCTCCCCCAGGTCGCCTTCCTGTGCCCATGCTGCCATGTCGAGGGCAGGAACTGCGGGGCTGCTCCAGTGGAGCTGTGCCCCCTGCCTCCCCGTCCCCTCCCACCTTCTGGGGAAGAGGACTAGGGCCGGGAGGGCAGTGCCAGGAGGAGTCTGGGCGCTGCTGAGTCCACTTCTTTGGGGAGATCTCGTTTCCCCAGGGAGAACAGACACTGAGCAGCACTTACAAAGCAAAGGCAGACAAGTATCAGCGATGCCGTGACAGGGTCTGGTGGACCAGGAACAGAGAAATGAAGCTTCTGGAAAGGGAGAGGCAGAGAGTTTGGCAGAGAGGGGAGGGACTTGGGAGTGACCTCCAAGGAGTCTTTGCAGCAAGGGAACAGTTGTAGGGAATGGGAGCCAGTGTAGCAGCTGCCTTTCCTCTTAAACTGGGCTCTCCCATGACCCTTCTCCCCACAGCCTTCCACTGCCCATCCCTCCAAAGCTTCCTCCCTTGAATTACATATGCTGGAAGTTCTAAACTGTTTCCACTTGTCACTCAGAATTGTGTAAGTCTCTAAGGCACACTGTCCAATTGGGCAACTCCTCCGACTAGGCCAGCCAAGTGACATAGTGCCAGACTGGCATGGGCAGCTTCAAAAGGGCAGAGTGGCCTGAGCCTAGTAGGGTGGGCTTGGCAATAGCCCTTCCAAAGGGCCTGCCCCTCACTGGCCACCAGACGTGTTCCCATTCCTTCTGGTGGCCTCTCCCTTGTGGCCCTGTCCTCTCTCTTAGAGCCAACTCCAGCATCTCAGAGTCACCTGCCTGAGAAACCTAAACTGCTCATTCTTATTTTTCTAGGTCCTGGCCTTCTTTGACAATCTGTCAAAAGCTATGCCCCTCTCTGGAGGAAAGAGAACCCACCAACGTTGTTGGTAGGATTGTAATTTGGGGCAGCCATTATGGAAAACAGTATGGAGATTCCTTAAAAACTAAAAATAGACTTACCATATGATCCAGTGATTCCACTCCTAGGCATATCTTCAGAGAAAACTCTAATTCGAAAAGATACATGCACCCCAATCTTCATAGCAGCCCTATTTACAATAGCCAAAATATGGAAGCAACCTACATGTCCATCGACAGATGACTGGATAAAGATGTGGTGTATATTTACAATGAAATACTACTCAGCCATAAAAAAGAATGAAATAATGCCATTTGCAGCAACATGGATAAACCTAGAGATGATCATACTAAGTGAAGTAAGTCAGACAGAGAAAGACAAATATCATACATTATCATTTATATGTGGAATCTAAAAAATGACACAAATAAACTTATTTACAAAACAGACACAAACTCACAGACATAGGAAACAAACTTATGATTCCCAAAGGGGAATGTAAGGGGGAGGGATAAATTTGGAGTTTGGAATTAGCAGATACAAACTACTGTATATAAAACAGATAAAGATCCTATTGTTTTATATTCAATATCTTATAATAATCTATAATGAAAAGGAATATGAAAAGTAATATACATGTGTATAACTGTATCACTATGCTGTACATCAGAAACTAACACAACACTGTAAATCAACTATACTCCAATTAAAAAAAAGCTATGCCCCTCTCCCTAGAATAGTGCGCCATTGCCACGACAGTGTGTGCACAACCACATTTTTGCCTGTAATTCCAGGGAATTTGTGGACTTCAGGATAAACCACCCTACCTTGAGGGCTTTTGGACTCTAGAAATACTCTCAGCCATGTTCAGTTCAGCAGAAAAAGAAAAATTACCCTCAGACCCATGGTCAGAAATCTCTGCAGGCCACAGCAGGATTAAATTTCCCACACATTTGACCGTTTGATCAGATTAACTGGCTCTCATTACACACACACCCCAACACAGGCCGTGTCTCTGCTGAGATTCAATTTCCACGCTCACTGTCCTCCTATCCGGGTGCCCGGCAGCACACTGTGACCACGAGTGTGTGGGCATTTGATACTGAAGGAGAGGCCTTCACTATCAGAGAGAGGCCAGGCACCAGGCTGGGAACTTTTTCCGCCCCACCCACCTCACAGTCAGTCTCCAGGCACAGATGGACTTCCTGTGTGGCCAGGTCAGCAGTCCAGGTCCATTCTTGGTCTGCACATTCCACAAGCTTCTAAAAACTGGCCCCCCAAGCCAGTCGGTCTACTGTGCCCCAAACAGGGCAGCCCCCTGTCCAACGCCCTGCCCTGCCCCTGGAGGAGGCTACAGAGGAGAACCTAGGCCTCCCTCCTGTGGGAATTTGCCAGATGGTCCCAAGGATCAAGGGCCCAGAGAGCTGAGACGTGAACAGAGTCCTCAGTGAGCGAGTTCCTCTAGGAGAGAGGAGCGAGGAGGTGGGGTTGGCCTGGGCGAGGGGCTGTAGGAAGGGAAGGCAGAGGGATCCGCAGGGAAAGGAGAGGAGAGAAGGGCCGCCCTGCAGTCAGGAAACGCAGGGGAGGAGACACTTGGGAGCACTTGAATTGGCCCACGATCTCTCCCACGGCCATCTCCCCTCGCTGGTCAGAACTGAAGTGAGTGGCAGTTCCTCTCATGGCCTCCTCAACCCCTAAGAGGCACCAGCCATGCAACTCAGGGATTTTAGTTGCATTACAAATTCCCGTGTCTATTCCAACAGGTTAAGTGCTTTCTCACTGCTGTCTTACCTCTGCCCTCATTTTATAACATGGGAAGATGTGTCTCTAGTAACTCTTATGTCCTGGGTTTTCTGGGAAAGTTTCCATTTCCATCTTCCCCATACAGAAATTCTACTGGTCCCACATGTCAGTTTCATCTACCAGCTTACTCCTCACACCTGGAAATGGAGAGGGTGACAGTGAAATGTGTAAATGTCTAAATGTTCTATCTGGGCAGGAGGATGGTCGAATACACCCAAAGGGTGTTCCACTCATTCATTTCTCCTTTTCTCCTTCCAAAGGGATTAATCAAGGGAAGTTTCCCCACTGCAGTTCAGTTCGAGGCTGGATAGACTATAGATGGTCCTGAAAGTAGAATAAAAACAAAATAGGAAAAGTTAGAGAGGAAATCCTCTCTGCGAGAAAGGTTTTCTGTTGTTTTTCTTTTCTAGATTTTTCAGAAGCCAAAGAAGAGGCAGGGAGAGAGTCCCTGAAAGAAGATTAAATAAAGGCAGGAGTTCACTGCTGTGCTTAATAACTACTTATCAGTTACCTCCTGAGCGCCAGATCCTCTGCCAAGCCCCAGGGGTATAGTGGGGAACAGCTGAGCAAGGTATCTGTCTTTTTAGTTTACTTTTCTAATGAGAAAGACAGAAAATAAATAATTTTAGGTAATAATAAGTTCTATGAAGAAATAAAATTAGAGAAAAAAATAAGAGTGCAGGTGATGGGCCAGTGAGCAATTAAGCAGCTCTTTTCGTCAGAGTAGCCAGGAAAGGCTGCTCTGAGTGTTCCCCACAAAGGGAATAGCCAGTGCAAAGGCCCTGAGGCTTAGCATGTTAATGGGGCAGAAATAAACCCAGGATGGCTGAAGAAAAGTCAGCAAGGAAGCAGAAACAGCACTGATACACAGTGAATTTACAAAGGGGACCAGTACTGAGTCACAAGAGCTTTGTAAGCAATAGTCAGTATTTGGATTTTTCAGGTGTGTGTGTGTGGTAAAATATACATAAAATTTACCATCTTAACCATTTTTAAGTGTGCTGTTCAGTGGCATTAAATACTTTCTCATTGTTGTGAAACCATCACCACCATCCATCCAGAACTCTTCCATCTTCCCGATGAAACTCTGTGCCCATTAAACAATAACTCCCCCTTCCCCAGCCCCCCAGCCCCTGTCAACCCCACTCTGCTTTCTGTCTCTATGAATTAGACTGCTCTAAGAAGCTCATGTAAGTGGAATCATCTAGTATTTGTCTTTTTGTGACTGACTGGCGTATTTCACTTGACATAATATATGTTCAAGGTTCATCCATGTTGTAACATGTATCAGAATGTCCTTCCTTTTTAAGGCTGCCTGTATCATTATTTGTATGTACCACATTTCTTTATCCATTCATCCACTCATGGACATTTAGATGGTTTCCACATTTTTGGCTATTGTGAATAATGCTGCTGTCAACATGGGTATACAAATATTTGTTTGAGTCCCTGCTTTCAGTTTTTTGGGGAATATACCCAGAAGTGGAATTGCTGGATTGTAATGATAATTCTATGTTTAAACTTTTAAGAAGACATCACACTGTTTGGATTTTTCTAAATGCAGTTTTAAACCACTGTAGTGACATGATCTGATTTATAATTTTACGAGAGACCTCTCTGTTGCTCACTGTGGCGGCTACGTCAGGGATAGATTGGGAAGAGGGGTGTAGAGTAGAGGTCAGGAGACCAGATGAAACATTGCGGATGGAGAGAGAGAACTGGCAGTACTTGCTGAAGGGCCAATTGTGGAGTTGGGGGGAAGGGGGAGAATCCAGCATGACTCCTAGGTTAGAGCAGCTGGAAGGATGCTGGTACCGTGTACTGATATGGCGGAGGTTGGAGGGGGAGGTCAGGTTGGGAAGAAATCTCAAGTTCCATTTTGGGCATGTTAGGTTTGTGGTTTTGTCAGGCATCCAAGAAAAGGTGGCAGGCCCAGGAAAAAAAGGACCAGGAGCAGCTGTATACAGATGGTATTTCAAACCATGGGACTAAATAAGGCATGTATGTTGGAGGTCATAGGAGTCTCGGAGACTCTAGCCATGAGGAATGAAGCTGGGCTGGCTGGGTTGGTGGGTATTGAACCTAAATTAGGGGGCTCTCAACTGGGGGACATAAGAGGGTCTGGGTTTCTACACTCAGCTCTGCTCTGCTCAGCTCTGGGGTGTATGTCCAGTGGGTCCAGGGAAGGGCATTACTTAGGGGAGTTGTCTCAACCCCATTGAAGGGCCTGAGGCCCATGCTCAGAATTCCCAGGTCCAGCCTAGCTGCCTGAGATGGAGGGAAGGCGTGGGAGAAGGACTCTGCAGAGCTTGGGCTCCCCTGCTGTTCACAGCTCAGTGCTTGGCAGACTCTTACCACAAAACCCACTTCCTATGATGTCTTGTCCCTGGGTTATCTCTGCCACCAGGAACTTCCTGTGAGCACAGTTAGGTTCTTGTGGGGAGAGAGGGAGGTGGGAATGTTAGCTGTGCTGAGAAGGCGAGACTCCTGCGTGGGCTTCCTCCCTCCTCCCTGTGAGAGCCAACACTCAGGGCTGTGCTTGGAGTCTGAGCCCAGGAGCTCCATGAGGGCAGGACCCAGACCGTCCCCTCCCTGCCCAGGAGAGTGTCTGCCACCTGGGCAGTGTGTGAACAGGCGTTTGCTCAGTGAGTCCTGGGCCGAAGCTGCCAAATGAAGCTAATTTTGACTCATAAACATTGGAGACTATACTCCCTGTATCAGAGCATTTTAATCATCACAGAGAAGATTAAGAAAGTCAACAAGAAAGCACCTAGTTTAATGACTGGCACACAGGAGGTGCTCAAGTGTTTGGGTCAGTGTGTGTGTGTGTGCGTGTGTGTGTGTGTGTGTGTGTGTGTGTGAGAGACAGTGTGCGTGATCAATCGCACCCCCACAAAACTGACTTCAGGCCCCACGGTTTGTGTAACACTGCATTGGGAGCAAGGCCTAAGCCCTGGGCTGACCCCACAGCCCTCAAGAGAAAGGATACACTCATCGTCACACCTGCCCCTTACCTCCACTTCTGAAACCACAGGCAACTCCACACTGTATAGTCAGGAACAGAACAGTGGCACGGATAAACCAAAATAGCAGTTCAGGAAACATCACCAAGATTTGGACTATGTTCCAAAGATGGATTGCTTCTGAATAAGGCTGTTTTTAATGCTCTGGGGATTTCCCGCTGAATAACAGGGTCATGAAGTGAGCCCCCTCTCAGAAGGAGCTGGAGATCTCAGCAGGTACCCTCCCTTCAAAGAGCTTTCCCCAGCCTGCTCCCATTCAGGATGCTTGCCCCTCCTGCAGACTCGCCCAGCCCTGCACCACCCCTGGCGGCTCACTGATCTCCTGCCCGGCCGGCAGTCGCCTGTTCCCTGGGCGACTGGCAGGCGCCTGGTACATGTTTTTTAAATTTAATTAAAAAGCGGCTCGGCATCTTTTCATCTTCCTAAAGAATTCCACATGCGGAGGAGTTAATAAAGAGGATTAGAGTAAGACTTCTTGCTGCTGACCCAGAAGCCAGAAATCAACATTCGTGTGTGCTCCATCTGTCAGACTTCAGGAAGAGCCCGGGAGACAGGGGCCCAGGCACTGAGAGATGACCGCCACGTGTGGAAAGGAAGGGAGGCCCAATCACAGCTCTGAAGGAGCGGGGCTGAGAGGGTGCAGAGACCAAGAGAGGCAACTGAGAGCTTTTGTCGGAAATGTACAGTTGATTTGACACCAAAGAAACACAACTCTGAGGTCCTGCCTCGGACATTAGGGAAGGTGCTCGGGTCATCAGGCACAGGACGCACACCGCCGAACCGGTGGGGTGTCCAGGCAGGGTGGGCGTGGCCATGAGGCCACACACAGGGAGGCCTCCCTCCCCCCTCCCCCCCTCCCGCCTCCGGCTTCTCTGGAGTCGCGCAGCGCAGCGGGTGTGGGAGGGTTAAACGCAGGCCTGATGGAGGCCGGAGGGTGCCCGGGCTTGGTGCCCACAGGAGATTAGGTTTGCAACAAAGCGGTGAGCTGGTAACAATGACCCTTCGCCTTCTAGAGTACTTGAAGGAGCCGCTGGAGTCGTTCGTGAAGCGGCTGCAGGTGGTGAAGGTGGTGCGGCAGGAGGAGCGCAAGGGGCTGATCACCGCCCGGCTGCTGGGAGCCAGCGTGGCGCAGGCGGAGGTGCTCACCTTCCTGGACGCGCACTGTGAGTGCAAGAGGGCCGGCCTGGCTCCCCGGAGGCCCGGCGGAGTCTCCCACCCCCCCAACCCATTCCCTTCCTGGCAGAATGAAGGGCTGGGACCGCCGCGTCACCAAGGCCCCTTTCCTGCTTTGCTGTCCCAGGAGCGAAGCAGGCTTGAAGCACCCCACACGCACCCCTACCCCCGCGCTTCTGACTCACCCCAATCCTGAGGGTGTTCTCTCTCGAGGCACACACAGCCCTAAAACAGCTGGTGGCCCCACGGTTGCTGGGAGTGTGCTCTGGAGCCCTAGACACTCTCTCCCTCCCACCCTCCCCACCCCCATCCCTCCCTCATTCTGAGCTCAGCCCCTCTGAGAGGCCTCCTGTTACCACTGGGAACTAGCAGAGGTTCCTGCAGGGCCACATGGAACCAGAAAGGCCTGCTTTTTGCCCCAAACCGAAACACTTCCCCACTGTTGTCAGGGAAAAAGAATTGTTCCCGAAGGGCAGTGTTGCATATTATGAAAAGCCTTAGACCTGAAGTCAGAAGACCTGGGTTCTGGCTCTGCCACTATCCAAGCCTCAGTGTCCTCATATACAACGTGGGATGAGGACAGCAACTTTACCGACAGAACTATTACTCTGAGGGCCAAATAAAGCCATATATGCCGTTCACTGACAGTCCCAAAGGGCTGGACAAATGAAAGGGATGGTTATTCTACAACGGGAGCTGAAGCCTGAGGTGCGGATTCCCCTGGGAGAGGGGACAACCCTTTGGGAAACCCACACTTGGGTGGAGACGGCTGGTTGAGTGGATAGGCCACAGACCCTGAAGATAGCCCGCCAGGGCCTTCCCTGTGCCTTGAGTCATTTGAGTTGGCCATGTTACTCCCATGAGACCTCCATTCTTCCCTCCAGAGCCGCCTCTGCCTTTTTTGGGGTTGGGGACAGGCGTAGGAGGGTCTCGGGAGATCTCTGTATGCTCTCTGTAGCTGGGGAGCTTGCCTGTGGTTCCCTGCCTACAGTAGGGGAGTGGGCAGAGGGTTCTCTTGTCCTCCTGGGTCTGCCCCCTGGTAGGAGCACGGGCTCAACTCTGGGCAGGACCCTGACCGCTGTCTCCTGGTCCCCTGCCTGCAGGTGAGTGCTTCCATGGCTGGCTGGAGCCCCTCCTGGCTCGGATTGCTGAGGACCAGACGGTGGTGGTGAGCCCAGACATCGTCACCATCGACCTGAACACTTTTGAGTTCTCCAAGCCCAACCGCAGGGGCAGAGCCCATAGTCGTGGCAACTTTGACTGGAGCCTGACCTTCGGCTGGGAGTCTCTGCCTCCACATGAGAAGCAGAGGCGGAAGGATGAGACCTACCCCATCAAGTAAGGACTGTAGCCTGGTGGGCCCCAACCTGGCCTCTGTGGCCCCAGGGACCTGGGCCATCTCAGGTCAACATTTATTGGACACTCTATGAAGCGCTTGACATATTTCATTTAATTGCCATCCCCTATAAGGTAGGTACTGTGATTAGCCTGTTTTGCAGGTAGGACACTGAGGCTCCTGGTGATGAACAGCTGGCTTCAGATTATGCATTAGCAAGTTGTGGGACAAGCACACCCATCCCGCCAGTCCAGCCCCAAGCCCGTGCTCCCCACCGTGGCACTGCCCTGCCTCACACCATGACAGATGACTCTGACTCACCACTTACTGTGTGCCAGGCCCTGGACTAAGGGCTTTCCATACTTTTATCTTCTTTATTCCTCTCTACACTTAGCAGGACATGACTGCTACTTGCAGAGAGAGATGGTAGGTACAGGCCACTGTTGAATAGCCATTATAATAAGAGAGGGTGGCGTGTGCGCCCAGGTCACCATCTTTGAAAAGACTGAGAACGTATTAAAGGGAAATAGAGTGCTCTGCAGTTGGCAGTGTGTTGCAGTTGCCCTGAGCTTTTTTGGGAAAGGGCCAGATAGCAAATATTTTAGGTTTTGCCAGCTACAAAAAAAAATCCTTTTTTTAAAATGTAGAGGGGAGCATATAGCTCAGTGGTAGAATGTATGCTTAGCATGCATGAGGTCCTGGGTTCAATCCCCAGTACCTCCATATAAATAAATAAGTAAATAAAAGCCTAATTACTGCCCCCCCCAACAAAAAAAGCCCCAAAAAACAAACAACAAAAAATGTAAAACCCATTTTTGCCAGAATCTTATAAAGCCAGGCCAGCTTTGGCCCACAGGCCATCATATACCAACCCCTGAGCTTTAGGGCGGATACTTGAAAGTTTATCCATTGTTTAATGTCCAGCTGGGTTTGTCTTCCCCTCAGACCCACCCTGTCCCTCGCTCTCCAGATTGCCTGTTGGTGTTGTTAGAGACCCCAAGTTTATTTTAACAGATGTCTCAGCCAAACTGAGTTGGGAGGAGACTTCTAGAGGTTTTCCTGTGGTTTGGGATTATCTGTACAATTGTTTTCCCACACTGGGCAGGAAACTTGTGGGTCAACAGAAGATTTCTCGGGGCTGGAGAGAAGCAGAGGCTGGGGATACCGTGAGCAGAGATCAGAGGGAAGGCTTGAACGGAGGAGAGGGTTAGATTTCCTTCCCTTCCATGTGCCCAAATCCTAAGAAATGCTGCCCAGAGCTTCAGTAGAGAGGAATCCCAAGGATTCGGAACAGCCAGCTGCTCTGTCTCCTTTAGAAGAAGAAGCAACAGAAAGGGGAGAGGGGAAAGGAGAAGGCAGGAGAGAGAAAAAATGGGGACTCCCTATTGACCCTCTGCCTGATTCATAGCTGTCTTTTGTTTGGGATGTACAGCAACAAGGCCCCCTTCCCCCAAGCTGGGGGCCAGGCACACAGTGGCACGGTCAGGGACAGGGCACCTGGTCCCCACCCATCACTGACATCCCCTGCTTCAGTGTCCAAGGACCATACAACTGGGAGACAAAGCTCCAGTGTTTGAGGAATGAATTTGCTCCCTGGTCCAAATGCCCTGTTGGCACACATAGCTTGCCTGAGGCACTTTGCATAGTATCCCACCAGGAGGCCTACAGGCAGCACCCTCCCATCCTCCACTCCCAAAGTTAATGGGAGGCCAAGAGGAGAAGTAAGGACCCAGGGGACCCTAGGAAGTAGGCCAGGAAATACAGTGTTTCCAGAGGTTGCAACAGGAGCTCAGAGGTCATTTGTCAATGGAGTCTCGGTCAGAATCTCAAAGCCAAAAGACAGGTCCAGGATGGGGAGACACTCAAAAAGCAGCAGGTTAGCACCAAAATGCTCATCTGGGGCCGCAGGACTCCCGGAGCCTTTCCTGGCCTTACTTGGGCTGGCTTAGAACCCCTGGTAGAGGCCGAAACTGGTGAAAGCAAGCCTCCCTGAGCAGGAGGGTTTTCCAACCAAAATTTCTTCCAGAAAGTGGCTGCAGGAGCCAACCTCAGGACCGCACCAAGGTCAGGTTCCTGTGTAGTTGCCTTGACCGATCAGTCCAGTGAAGGCTGACTGAGCCCCTGCTATGTGTAAAGCACCTCGATCAGTTCTAGGTTTCAGTGTCTTTCTGCTTGGTTGTGCCTCATGGAGCCACCTACTGAGGGCAGCAAAGCCCCATCCAAGCCAGCCTGGCCTGGCACAGACCCCCAACAGCTAATGATTACGTACGAACTCCTGTCCCTGTCTCCCCAGCTCCCACCCCCGGCTTCAACCCTCAGCCCAGCCCCTCCTATGAGCAACGTGGTATCTAAGTTCAAGATGTTTTTGTCAATTTCTCTAAACATGAGTCTGTACCTCCCTGCCTTTGTCTGAAAGCCAGAATCTTTTTTTAACCTCCAAATGCTCCCTTTAGTCCAAGTTTGTCTCACTTCCTACTCTGTTTCTTGGAGCATCTATTTCCAAAAACAATTTTACACAGATTCTGATTATCAAGTATATACTATGCTTCAGGAAATTTGCTGCCAAAAAGTAAATGATGGTGGCTTTACCCTCTGTTGCTACATTGGGCTCGCAGGGAACAAGAGCTGTTTCTCTTAACTTGGTACGACTAACATATCATACAGGTCTTGGTAGCCAGTTCTTAATACATCCTTGGTTGAATGAATGAATGAGTGCCCTTTAGAAGAGAGTGATGATCATGACATCTCTCCTTGACCCGGTCCTGGAAGGTGAAGAGAACATAATAAGAGCTCAATATACACTTGCTAAATGAATAAGTTAGTGGAAGAGGGGCTGCACATCCCCGGAGAGAGGAAAGGAGGAGGGGGTAGGTTAGGAGGTAGGTTAGGAGGTGTTAGTGGTGAGTCCACAGCATTCCACGCAAGGTTCAGGCTCCTCTTCCCCCCAGAAGATGCACATGCTTCTCCCTCTGTCTCTCCAGATCCCCGACGTTTGCTGGTGGCCTCTTCTCCATCTCCAAGTCCTACTTTGAGCACATCGGTACCTATGATAATCAGATGGAGATCTGGGGAGGGGAGAACGTGGAAATGTCCTTCCGGGTGAGAGTGAAGAGGGGTTCTCGGGGGAACCACCACATCCCAGGGGACAGCCTGAGCACCTGTCTCTTAGGCAGTGGCAGGGATATCACATCTGGAACTGAACTTGAAAAGGTGGCTGTTTCCTGTAAGGGCTCCACCTTTCCTCTGCCCTATCCCTTCCAGGACAGTCGGGCTTTGGGCATCACACTGGACAACTGGGAACAAGTTCCTGGGCAGAACTCCTCAGAGGGAAGGGATCATAGGGGTAACAGGGACTGGACACCTGGGGATTGATGACATTTTTCATGTTGTCTGAGGGAAGAGGGTTGGAGTGAAGGTGGAGCAGGTCAGTAAGCAGTCACTATCCTTTTTCCAGTGAAGGCTGATTGAGCCCCTGCTGTGTGTAAAGCACCTTGATCAGTTCTGGAGGTTTCAGTGTCTTTCTGCTTGGTTATGTCACGTGGAGCCGCCTACTGAGGGCAGCAAAGCCCCATCCAAAAAAATCAGGTTCTGGTTTCCAGGTCAGAGGACACACGCCTTGGTAGCCTTTAGAGTTTCCCTCCCCTCTGCTCAGCAAACTCTTCATAACTGTAGGAGAAGATGATGGTCTGAATTCTGGTGGACCCCAGAACTCTGAGGGATTCCAGGAATAAAGCAAATCAGGATTAGGTTAGGAAGAAAGGATTGCCTCTCCACGAAATCTACACAAATTCCCATTCAGTGGAGAGTAATTAACCAGTAAATGAGATTGTTGACGAAGTCCCCTCTCACAGTGTCTGGTACATATTAAGCACATCGTTGATATCTGCTGTTACAGTGGCTATGATTATGTATTTCTGTTGCTGCTATACTAAAATTAACAACATACCTCCCAATCGAAAACTTGAAAAAGAAAAGACAACAGGTGGAAGGGATGTAAACCAGCCCAGTCACCATAACACCCAGGGTTCTGATCCTAGGCTCATCTCTGAGCCGCTGACCTCTGTTCAGTCTCCCTCTAAGGAAGCTAATGTGCTCAAGGTGCAGGTGATTACCGCAGGCCACCTGTGGTTAACTAGCCTTGCTATTAATTAATGAATTGATGCTCTGATTGGGTCACAGATTGATCTTGATTTGGAGGTGCTTGTGTTTCCTATAACACCTAAGTGGGCTGATAAAATCACATTTCCAAGTGAAAAAGCCAAGTGACCAGAGCTCAGACACAAAATTAGCCAACTGTCTTTTCTCTAAAGTGGGCCCTGGTAACCCTCAGGACCCTGCAAACTTCCCTTTGCTTAAATCAGAGTGAACCAGCATCAGAGATCCAGGGACTGAGTAGTTATGTCCTGCGAAGAAGCCTGGTCAATGTTTTTCTTCCAGGGAGACAGAGCAGCATTTCCCTGAGTCCATGGACCTGGGGTCTGGTGCCCTGGGAGTGGAACAGAACTGCATGGGGGGGAGGTTGTCCCACCCACCCCCTGAAAACCCCATCCCGTATCCTCTTATGGCAGGTGTGGCAGTGTGGGGGCCAGCTGGAGATCATCCCCTGCTCTGTGGTTGGCCACGTGTTCCGCACCAAGAGCCCCCACACCTTCCCCAAGGGCACTGATGTCATTGCTCGCAACCAGGTGCGCCTGGCCGAGGTCTGGATGGATAGCTACAAGGAGATTTTCTACCGGAGGAATCTGCAGGCAGCAAAGATGGCCCGAGAGGTGAGAGGAAAGGATGCTTAAGGAGGGGTTTGAATAAAGAGAAGCGTAGAATCCCAGACCCTGGTCAAAGGCTTAATGTTAGAGGCCCACGCATCTCCACCATCTGGTGGGGCCAGGGAGGCTCTCTTTTGAAGGCTAGAGAATGAGGAGAGGAGGCTTGGTTGTCCCTGCCGGGAGAGCCCCAGCATCTTTCAGGAGGGTGGAGAAAAGATTTGGAGGAAGAAATTCTTACAAGAGCAATGGCTTTGCTCTGAGGAACAGGAGAAAACTGACTGGGAAGTCACAGGAGATGAGGGAGTAAGGGGAGCCCTGGGTGGGAGTCCCAAAGACCCAAAGGCAGGGGTTGGGAACTTGATGTGGGGCTGAGCCAGTAGCCCCAGCAGGTCCTGCGCAGGAATGACCATGAGACCCATTCCAGGAGAAAGTGGCCCCAGAAACTGTGGGCTGCCTCCACCCAGACAAGAAGATCAAGGCAGGTGGAACTGACCCTTAGGGGTTCACTTGGTTGACAGAAATCCTTCGGTGACATTTCGGAACGACTGCAGCTGAGGCAACAACTACACTGTCGCAACTTTTCCTGGTACCTAAACAACATCTACCCAGAGATGTTTGTTCCTGACCTGAAGCCCACCTTCTATGGAGCTGTGAGTCTTGAGAACTAATGTGCATTATTTCAGAGCCCCTGGGAGAAGTTCAGGACCATCTGCCCCACAGCTGGATGACAGACAAGAGTTGAGTGTTACTCCCCACACTCTTTTGTCCAGGAGGAGGACTGAGAGGCCACTCTGGGCTTCTGGAGATAGCTAAAAACCTTATAAAGAGGAACCAACCCCCTAAACAGTGTTTCTCAGACCCTTACATGCATCAGAATCACCAGGAATGTTCCTTAAGTCACAGATTGTTGATTCAGTAGGACTTGGATGGGGCCTCAAAATTTGCATCTTTCACAACCCCTCGGGTGATGCTGATGGTTGGGGATCAGACTTTGGGAACCACTGCTCAGAAGGCATCCCAGGTGCCGAGGGCTTTCCCCAGGGACCTGTCCTGTTGCCCATCCTGCCCTTGCCCAGCCCGTGGGCTCTGCACCTCACTTTGCTATTAACCCCAGGCACCTGGGTAATGAGCAGAGGAGAAAAATCACAGAGAAATCCAGTCATGCAAATTTATCTCAGGTACACCCCACACCACAAACCAAAACACTCCTAACTGTGCTCTCCTGGTCCCCCACATTCTGCAGATCAGGAACCTCGGCGTGGACCAATGCCTGGACGTGGGTGAGAACAACAATGGGGGAAAACCCCTCATCATGTACACCTGCCATGGCCTTGGCGGTAACCAGGTACGCAGCCCTGCCCAGGAGAAGCTTGTCTCTGGGGCATCTCCTCTCTCTCCAGGGGTCCCTTTCTCCACTCAAAACAGGCCTTTCCTGGGGCCTAGGCTGGGGGAGACCCAGAGAGAGGAGGAGATACCATCCCTGCCCTCAGAAAGCTCCCAGTCTGAGGAGGAATGCATGACACAGACAGACAGGGTGTTAAGTTTGGATCAGGGACTGGAGAGAGCACTGGGCACCAGTGCTGGCTGCTAAGTGGAGGTGGGAGGGGAGGATGGTTAATCAGAGAGGGCTTGCTGGAGGATGCCAGCTGCTGAGTGATGTTTTTAGGTGACTGAAAAGTTTTTGAGCACTTACCCTCACATCCACTCAATGCCTCCCCTGCCCAGAAGCTACCACTCTGATCCTGCCACCTATCAGTGACCCCAAAACCACCTACTGACATCTCATACTTACCTGGCGTCCTGGAAATTGACCCCATGCACTACAAAGCCCAGCTCTTCCCTGAGGAACAACTAGTAATCTCCACGACCCCAGCCCCTTAATCTACCCTGAATGCCCAGCGTTTGGTAAAAGGCACTTGAAATAGAGCGGAAACAAGGAAGGGGGTGGCATGGGACACTAAACCGGATGCCGACTTATGTAAATAAAGACAGAGTCATTCTAAAGCAATTTCCCATACCACTGGCCTGCATGGTGATTTTAGGTGGCATATTGGTGAACATTTTTAAAAAGTTTAATAATAATCTATTAGACAAAAACAAACTAACATATCAAACACATGATTTCACAGATAATGCCTAAAATGAGGCTAAGTTAAATATTTAACTGAAGTAACCACTACTCCAGTATAACCAGATACGGTCAAAATCCTGAAGGTGGCACATAAATGACTAAAGCCTTGGCACCCACTCACTTTCCCCGGCAAGAGGCCACCTGTGGTTGGCATCTTAGGGCAGTTGGCTTTGGCAGGTGGTGGGCAAACTCTCCGCCTGTCCCTCAGGACCTCCTCTTGTCTTGACTTCTAGTACTTTGAGTACACAACCCAGAGAGACCTTCGCCACAACATCGCAAAGCAGCTGTGTCTACACGCCAGTGCCGGCACGCTGGGCCTTAGGAGCTGCCACTTCACTGGCAAGAATAGCCAGGTGCCCAAGGATGAGGAATGGGAATTGACCCAGGTGAGTCCGCTGCCCAGCAAGCTCAGAATCAAGAACCGGAGGCCACAACTGCCCCCTCCTTTCCTCTACATCTTCCACCTGAGATCCCCTAGGAGGATCCAGATGGTGTAGAAAGTATAGAGGCCATGGGCCTTGTCACAGGCAGGATTCTTGGGCCTTGAGTGATGTTTGGTGATGGCTGGTTCTGGTTGATATAAAGATGAGGTTGGGGATTATGGTCCAAGGTCAGCTCTGTCATGGCTCAAGTGTTTTCAGGCTGAACTCAAGTAGATGAAGGTGAAGCGTCACTCGTGGTTCCTGCCTGGCCTCCGTGTGCCAAGCAGAGCTGTACACTCACATACATTGGTTTGGTTAATCTTTCAGAGGCTCTTCCCCATTGTGGTGTCTCCATTACTATGGAAGAGCTAGCTGAAGCTCAGCAAGTCTGTGACTGGCCCAAAACCCTTCACTAGTAAATGGCCAGCCTGGGATTCGGACCTCGATAAGTCTGAATTGAAAGTGTGGGCTCTTTCCATTACACCACACTGCCTCAAGATGGATGATGTAACTTCTACAGCACTGGGCCCAAACTAGCACCCCCAGTGAGCCTCTACACCCCACTCTACCCCAAGCTCCAGCTCTTGGCTTAGGGGAAGAGGCGCCTAACCTTGGGAAGGCTAGAGGAGCCTTAGAGAAGGAGGGGTCTAAACATGATCAAAGGCAGAAGGTGGTGGTGGGCAGCAATGGCCCAGGTCTTCAAGACTGGCCATCTGGAGGAGGGGGTTCCTGAAAGCATTTTTTCAGTTAGCCCGTGGTCTTGCTTTTCTCTGTTCCAGCCACTCGTGCCAAAGCTGAGGGCAGGGAATTGGCACCAGACACAGGTGGCAACTCAGGAACCCATACCATCAAGAGTATCTGGTGTCCAGGGAAAGGAATTTGGCAATGTTCTCTTTGTGCCTTGTTGGGTTCCCTTGGCCTTTTGTCTATTGTCCTCATCTCATTGCCCCCCTAGTGGCACTGTCAGAGGTCTGAGGTCCAGGTTGACCCTTTGCTATGTCATCTTTTAGGACCAACTCATCAGGAACTCAGGATCTGGTACCTGCCTGATATCTGAGGACAAAAAGCCAGCCATGGCCTCTTGCAACCCCAGTGATCCCCGCCAACACTGGCTGTTCGTCTAGGCCCTGGAGCGGCCCCTGTGGGGGCTCCCTCAGGCCTCTCAAGAAACAGGATTTGGGGAGCTGGATGCTTGAGAACCTGATCATCAGCTTTCCTGTCGGCCTTAAAGATGGATTTCAAACCCAGTGGCTGTCAAGGCAGGACCTTCCTGTTCCTTACAACAACATTGGGCCCATTTCCTTTCCTCCACGTTAGTGGAAGAGACCATTAGAACATATCCTATGTGGCCTAGAGCTTTCCTTCTGTCTTAGAAACAGACTTCCAAAGCAGAGAAGGCAGCTGGGGTAGGGCCCAGGGAAGCAGTGCTGAATTCAACAGAAGCACCTCTGTAGCCACACCCTGAATCCCTAGTCATCCAGTACACCCGCAGAATCCAGTGAAATAGTCTATTCTGAACAGAGGGCTTAGAGGTCTAAGAGTCTCCCTTGGTAACATGACCTGAAGCACCCTAACAGGAGTCCTTTATCTGACTTCATCTGCATAGCAGTCCTGTGAGAGAGATGGGAACTGCCAGGCCCATTTTATGGACAGGAAAACTGAGGCAGTGAGAAGTAAAGGAGCTTGTCTGTATCCCAAAGCTAGTGGCTGGCTGGAGCCGAGACTGAGGCTCAAACTTGAACGCTAAGCCAGTGCTCCTGACACCACCCAAGAACACTAGGCAGCTAGCCATCAGCCTCCCCATTCTCTCTTCCCCACACAGTGATCTTTTCTGGCTGTCTGGTTTCTGTAAAGCTTAGAACCATGGAGCCAGGTAGCCATGAGGGAGACCAAATTTGGGGATCCTGGGATGTTCAGTTTGAAAGAAAGCTTATGGAGCCAGTTATCCTCAGGTTTGAGTCCCAGAACCTTTTTTCAGTGCTCCATATATAATGACAAAGTAGCCAAAGATGAAAATGAGAGTAGGTGAGGGCCATGCCCAGCAGCCCCTGAACTTCCAAAGATCTGCAAGCACAGTTTGAAAACCATTGTTTTAGTCCAACCCTATCACGTTCATATTATGAAACCAAGGCCAGATAAGTGAAGTAATTTGCCCTCGGCCACACAACCAGGTTTTGGTAGCCCTGAGGCTAGGACCCAGATAAGACTAGCAGGAGCCCTGGGAAGTCTGAGGAAGTAGGGACAGCATAATACATCCAGCACAACTGCATGACTGGTCTTGTCTGCTGTTCTCGCAAGAAGTCCCTACGTGGAGCTGTGCAGGTCAGCTCTTCTCCAAGCAAGTTGGACCCCACCATGCACGGCTGCTTTGCCTGAATTAAAGAGCCCCCGCTGCCCAGAGGACTCACCTTCCTGGCAGGAGGGCATCTGACTTCGAGTAGCAGGCCATCATCTTGGGCATCACCAGATGAGGGTGCCGCAGGACCACGCTGCCTCCCCTTCCCTGGGCAACGCCCCACCGCAGCTGCTGCCATAGGAAGTCTCCTAGGTCCCCTGGGGTAGCCCAGCCGAAGGGAGAGGAGAGAGTGGCCAGGATGTGTCCTGGAGTGGGGAAAGGGGAAAGTTCTTCCCCAGAAAGAGAAGAGAATTGGACATGAGATCCCAGCAGAAATAAAGGTTTTATGGCATTGGTACAGGAAGTTTGCGTGGGTTCCTCCTCCCCTGCATTGTCCTTGAGCTGATCCCTTTGGAGGATCAGTTGATTCAAGCTGTGAAGAATCACACACATCTGAAAAGTTCTGTCACAGCCACTGTCTCTTGTACCCAAACATCCTCTGGCCCCCAACCTAGCCTACACACTATGTCAAGCACATGTAGACATGAAGATATAAGATGAGGCTTGTCCCCCGTGGAACGTGCTGTCTGGCTGGGAAAAGATGTATGCAAGTCATGCCAAGCCTGCAGTTGTTCAGAGATGGGCTCAGTGAGGAAGAACAATTTCTTCTATTGAGGGAAATCAGGGAAGCCTCACAAAGATGGTGACTTTTGACCTTAGACCTCGAAGGATGGGTTATGAAGCGGGAAGAGCTCAGTGAGCAGAGATCTCGAGTGTGAGAAAACTCAGAGAGATAAAGGTCCAAGTGGATCTGGGGAACCAGGAGGACCTCAGGGTGAGGGAGCAGTGGATGTAGAAGCTGGAAGATCAGGACCACACTAGGGCTTTTGTGGGCCCTGGGCACTTCGGCCTTCATTTAAAAAAATACTAAATACTATGTTTTACAACTTTATTGGTATAAAGATGAATATAATCCAAGCTGATTGTATTCTAATTTTAAAAGAAATGAAAGCATTTTTGTGGGCCTCAAAAGTGCAGTGGGCCTCAGGCACTGTCCCTGCTGTGCCCTGTAGGACAGCGGGCTGGGGCCCAACTGAGAAGGCTTTGAATGCCATGCTAACAAGTCCGGTAGCCCTAGGGAGCCATAGTCCCTAACTCCAATCTTAGCCCTATTCTTGGTGGCATTTATCAGGCTTTGATTGTTTGCCATTTATTCCTCATACTCTCTTGTAGCATCAGCCCAGTCTTAACGATACACGCCCAACCGAGGTGCCCTACCGTGGTGCTAGGTTTCCTCACCCCAGCCCACAACAGCACACCCTCTCCCAGGGGCAGTCAGCTGACAGTAACCCACAGGGAGTGAGAGATGCTGCAGAAGAGAGAGGCGACCTCATGGCACGCCTAGCGAGGAGGCCAAGTTTGCGGGTGAAGGGAGGACTCGGAAAGAGAGCTGGTTGGTAAGGGAGGGAGAGGGCTCAAGAACCAGCTTCATGGCCTCCCCTTAGCCAAGGCTGGCTTTGCCCTAACTTGACATCTGCACTATTAAAATCTATCCCTCTGACCATTGTCAGAGCTACGTTAAAACCTTAGATCCTTGCTTAAATCCTGCTTAAGCCTCAGTGCTAGCTGGCCCTGTGGTATTATCTCCTGGCTCCAGGAGCCACTCACCGTAGCACTGAATGGCTGGTCCCCTCTGGGGAGCTGTTTCCCACTTGAAGAGTGCCATTGCCAAAAATAGATAAATGTCCCAGAATATATTCTTATTTTTAATTACAAAAGTAATACTGTGGAGAAGTCAAATAACACAGAAAAATAGTTTAAAAAGTGAAATTGATCCTCATGACACTCCCACACCTATTGCTTCAGAGTAGTAATTGCTAAATATAAAACTTCTAGACCCCTTTTCTATGAATACACAAATATATATGTGTGTGTGTGTATGGTATATGCAATATATATATATATATATATGTGCACACACACACACAGTACCACACTGTCACTTAATGTCCTCATTTAATATACCAAGGACATCTTTTCATGGCAGGTCATTTAAATCTAACTCATTCTTTTTAAAACCTGGATAGTATTCTTTAATATGATTAAACTCACTTTCTCTAAACTTCCCCTGATGAATACCTAGGTTTTCCCAAATTTGGTGACAAGCTTTGTGACAAACTGTACTAGAACTCACATCCTCATACATTTATTTTTGTACCTGTGTTTATTTCAAAAAGATGCATTCCCAGAACTAGTGTTGCTTAGTTAGAAGGAATGCAGTGCCTTTAAATGGAAGCTGAAGCCCCCCTCTATGACTCATTCTAAGAGTAAGGATAAAAAAAGTCTGACCAGTGTGGGAGATGAGGCCAGGCATGTTGATTAGGCAACGGCATGAGGGCCTTAAATGCAGTCCTAGACAGTCTGGTTTTTAAGCAAATACAGACTGGGCTTCCCCCAGGGTACAGAGATGGCAGTGATATTGACACTACCTTCAAAGGCTCCCTTGGAGTGTGTGATGTGGAGGGATAACCTTTAGGCGGCCCTCAAGCCTCCTCTTGGACTCCTCATCCTGCGGCTAGAGCTGTCTCCCTACTCTCTAGGGAAAGCAGGGAGGTGGGAGGAGAAAGACAAAGGAGGCCCGGTTCCCCAGCCAGCTCAGCCCTCTTCCCCAGGTCTGCCGGGTGTTAAAATGCTGAGGGGTGGGCTGGAGAGGGAGCCCTCCAGGTTACCCAAGCATCAGAGTGCAATTCCCTTGAACACCCCAAGGCCCTGAAAAGGTGACAGGCTGTACAGAACTCCTTCTCCAGCCTTTTCTAGGCCTCTCCCACACCTGCAGGCATGCAGCTTGAATTCCCAAGTATCTAGGCAACAAAAGCCCCCAGGTGGACTGGCTGACTTGCCTGCCTCCCCCAGGCTTCCTGGCTTCTCTGCCTAAATACCAGCTCCACCCACAGTCCTCTGCTCCAGGACCTCCCAACTGAGAGTTCTCCGCCCAATTTAAGGCACACAGCACCTCCCTCCTTCCCTCCTGACTCTGAAGGGCAGAGCCTTTCACCTACTGCGGGATGCACCTGCTCCCCAACCCCTGCTCCCTCTGCCCTCCACCCTCAGAGCCCACAATCTGAGGGCTCCCTTGTCTAACCCGCCCCACACTCTCCTCCCTTGGGAACTCTCTTTTCTTTTTCTTTCCTTTTTTTTTTTTTTTTTGGCTCTCCCTGTGAGTCTTCCCAAACCTGATTCCTATTACCCTCCTCCACCAGAATTCTCTCCAAGGCATCTACTTTGCTTTTGTCTCCCTGGATTGACACCGCTGTCTGCATGCTGGGGGCACATCCCATCTGCCGCTAGGAGAAAGGAGACTTAGCTGTCCCTTCTTGTGAACCACTCTTCCCTCCTCCAGCCCTCTCCTTGTCTCCACCTCCCAGAGCACAGGGTAGCTCATTGCACTTACAGTGCCCCGAGGACGGTGAGGCGGTGGCAGGCTATGAGGGGCGCGCCCAGAGGGAAAAGCCAGTCCTGGTTCTCCATCTTATTTCTGAAACAGGCAGGGTTCGCTGGAGATGTTTCAACTGAAAGCAGATGATTAATTCATCTCACCTTGTTCTGTCTTTGAACATAGATAAATTTGTTTACTTGAAAAGAAATATTTTCATGTGTGTTTCCATGTCACCTGTGATTTTTCCCTGCCTTCCACGCGCAGCCCTGCCAGTTGGCAGGAAGAAAGTCAGCAAAGCTGCTGATAAGAGGAGTATAAAGAGGGCTTGGTTCATGGCAGGGGGGCAGTGGTCTACTCTGCTGGCAACATGCTGCGCTTGCTGGTGTTCGCAACCCTGGTCCTTTATGGTAAGTGGGTCATCTGCCCCGAGTTCTGTAGGGAGGGGGAGTGAGCAGGAGGGTCAGAAAGCTTTCCCTGAGCCCAGGCCGGCTCTCCATCCCAGGGCAGGAGGGACACTCTGCCTGTGAGTCCAGCAAAAACTTTACTCTCCTGGAGCCCCTGAGAGGAAAGTTCAGGGGCCTCTGGTGGACAGGTCCCAGAGCCATGAAGCAGAAAGAAGCCACTTCCGGGGCCCTGGGCTTCCCCACCACCCCTACTGATAGGAAGACATCCTCAGCAGGTGCTGGCTGTCACTGCACTGCTGTCCCTGCCCCCTGGAGCACCCTGCCTAAGCACTGTGTGGGAGTCGGTGGGAACTGGGGAGGGAGCGGGGAGTCACCGTCACCGCAGGCCAAGGGATGACCCTGAGCAAGGCTGAGACCACAAGAAGGAACGAGGAACCTCTGGGGCCTGGCCTGGTGATGTGAGCTGGGTTCTTCACAGCATGCCAGAGTACTGGGGATGCGAAGAGGGGAAGCAGAAAGCACTCAGACTTCCCTGCTTTCAAAAGGGGCTTAGAGAACTCACAGGCCCCTCATTTGCTAGGGAGGAACTGTGAATTTGCAGGCACAGCACAATGGCCATCCCCACCTCCCACCCTGAGCTGACCCCATGCTTAGTCATCACTCACTTTTCTGCTGCCCCACAAAGGACACAGCACCCAGGACTTTCCAGAAACCAATGCCCGGGTAGTCGGAGGGACTGAGGCCACAAAGACTTCTTGGCCCTCTCAGGTGGGTATTCCTTCACAGCCCCAGATTTCCAATTAAATAAGAGATGCCTGTGCCCTGATATACAGCGCTATGTGTATCTGTGTATATCCTTATCAACAGGAAGCTCTCCAAATGCCTGGATTCTAGATTTTAAAGATGAATGGGAACCGGGCTGAGGTGTTTTATTCCTAAAGGTAAAAAGCTTGGAGGAGGGGACTTAAACACCAGCCTCACTCACGCTCTCAGGCACACACCCAAACACAAACCACACAGACATTTCCAGTCACACCACTTGTGCCACACTAGCAAGACTGTGGGCCAGACCCACACCTCAGACCCTAGAAACCTTCACACACACACACGCATGCACACCCGCGTGCGCATGCACACACACACTCCACATGGCACATCACGCATTCAAGTGCACCGCTGGCCCCAAGTAGAGCATGCTGCTCATTTGGCTATTTAAAGAGTTTCCACTTTTGAAATAGGGCAGCTAGGCTTTGATTTAAGGAAGTCTGAATGTGTAAAACTGGCAGATTAACTGGTGAATAGCCCCGCTTTGAGAGGAATCACTGCAATTAGAATTCAATTCAATTTACAAAAGCTTGCACCTCAGTTTTGGGGAGTAGAGCTATTGTGTGATATGAGGTGCTGAAGGAGAAGCCATGAACTAATAAAAACGAACACCCCAGTGGTATTTCTAAGCCTCCGCTGAAGTGAGGAGACAGGGTGTATCTTGAAAACATTGGAGTGGGAGCTCTGGGGGCCTATTCTTGTGACTTTGTTGATGGAGCGATTCCGTGGCTACATTTCTGTCCCAAGAGGGAATGCAGGTAGAAGGACCTGGGTTCTGCACCCTTTGCAACAACCTAGGATAAGGACGCCAAATGCACCGTGTACATGCGCCTTTACCCCACTTTACGCCACCATCCACGTGCACAGCCAACATCACCAACTGACAGCGCATTCTCTTCTGCTGGTCCCAGAGGCATCTACATGCCCCCTTCTCACCACCACTCCAGGGAGCCACTACCAACCAATCAACAGCAACTGACAGGCCAAATGAAACCTATTTGCCATCTCTCGCCCAGAAGGGTGGAGGCTGTTTTGAGGGATGGCAGGAATTTAAGGAGGTAACGTGGTTTGGGGCAGAGCCTTTTAAGAAACACTAACCTATCCCTCTTTTCTTCTCTCCCCATCTAGATTTCCCTCCAGTACCAGTCTGGAAGTTCCTGGTCTCACACCTGTGGAGGGACCCTCATCAGACAGAACTGGGTAATGACAGCTGCTCACTGTGTGGACAGGTGAGCAAAACAAAGACCAGCTTTTCAGAGTCCCTGGAAAGGGAAGAGTCTGGCCCTGCTGGAGGAAAATCTCTCTTTGACCACTCAGGATGGTCGAGGGAGGTTTGGGGGGGGCCTGTGGGGAGGCAGTAGAATATAATGAAAATTATGAACTGCAGCATCAGGAAAGCTCAGGTTCAAATCCTGTCCCACCTTTTTCTAGCTATGTGAACTTGGATGACTTACTGAGCTATCTAAGCTCTCACTGTCTTCTCTCTAAAATGGGGTAATGATACCTACTTTGTAGAGTTATTGTGAGCAGTAAGTAGGTAAATATTTAAGTGCCTAGTCAATGCCTGGGCCAGTAATCGGTTTTTTTCATATCTCTCTTGAGCAATGGTTCTTAAATTTGAGCCTGTATCAGAATTACCTGGAAGATAGACTGCTGGACCCCACCCAGTAGAGTTTCTGATGGGGAGGTCCAGGTTGAGGCCTGACAATCTGCACTTCTAACAAGTCCCCAGGTTATGCTGATGCTGCTGGTCCAGGGACCAGGCTTTGAGAACTACTGTTCTAGAATTTATACCTCCCTCAAAAATCCCTCTGTGGACTGAGAGCTCACCACACCTCTCCCAGGTTATAAGATACTCAGCCTATGATGTTTAGCTTGGTAAACTGTTAAAATGAAGTTGACAGTAGTTTTTGTGACTTCTGCAAGTTGGCAAATCAGGGATGAGAGAGCTGGTGACGTCTTCATCCTCCAGGATCTTCCATTCTTCCTCTGCCCAGGCCAGAGAAGATGGGCTTCTGTCCTAAAGATGAGATGTAAGATGGCTTCCCAGCTTTTCTCTAAAAGAGGAAAGAGAAGGCTCACTCAGGTCTTCCCTCTCTCCATCCAGTCAACGGACCTTCCGTGTGGTGGTTGGAGAACACAACCTGAGCCAGAATGATGGCACCGAGCAGTACGTGAGCGTGCAGAAGATCGTGGTGCATCCCTCCTGGAACAGCAATAACGTGGCTGCAGGGTAGGGGCAGGGTGGGGCTGTTCTCGGGCTGGGAGGTGGGGGCAGGGTGGGGCTGTTGGTAGGCTGGGAGGTGGAGGGCTGATTGGCTGGCCATGGAGTCTTGGCTTTCTTCACATTCATCCAGGAGGATTTTGAGAATCAAGGGGTTGGAGGGCTTGAGAATATTTGAAGATATTGGGGATTTGTTTGGTCTAGGCTGGTTTCCATGACTGAATCCCCTGACGCTCCTTCTCTGCAGAGTTGAATGTTCCCATTTTCATTGTTATTATTCATTTTATGGAATAAACTCCATCAGCAAAAGGACATTTCTTAAAAATGAAACTTACAATGAGAAAACTCCTGCAAGACTGAGCTGTAAACTTTTTTTTAATTGAAATATAGTCAGTTACCATGTGTCAATTTCTGGTGAACAGCATAATGTCCCAGTCATACATATATATACATATATTTGCTATCATATTCCTTTTCATTAAAGGTTATTACACGACATTGAATATAGTTCCCTGTACTATACAGAAGAAATTTGGTTTTTTATCTATTTTTATATATAGTGGTTAAGATTTGCAAATCTCAGACTTCCAAATTTATCCCTTCCCATCCCCTTTCGCCTGGTAACCGTAAGATTTGAGCTGTAAACTTCTGGACAGGAAGTAGTTAAAATGGTGGTCAAGTCTGTAGTGTGGGAGTGGGGATGCATTCAAGCAATTGGGATATTTCTACAGAGCACTTTACATCTTTCTCCTTTGAGAATTCTTGTCCACTAGCAAGATCACCGCACTTTGCTCCTTTCTGATTCCCCATCTGTAACTGAGAGATGCGCGCTCCACTCCCCTGGGTTGTAGACCAGAGCTAGGCTACCATAGCAAGACCTCACCAGCAGGTGCCGCTGTTAAACATAGAATGTCCTGCAATCCAAAAGTGTAATTCCTCCAGTTGGAGGCTTAGTGAGTCAGCCTCCTCGTTCTTCAAAGTCTCTGGTTTCCAATTCCATGGGGACACAAGGCTTGGGGAGGGCCTGTCCATATGCCGACCTGAAGGAAGGCCCGATCCCGCTGGTGAGCAGCCTCCTTCCCTCCCGCAGCTACGACATCGCCGTGCTGCGCCTGGCCCGGAGCGTTACCCTCAACAGCTACGTCCAGCTGGGCGTTCTGCCACAGTCTGGAACCATCCTGGCTAACAACACTCCCTGCTACATCACAGGCTGGGGCAGGACCAAGAGTAAGTCACCTCCACTGGCACCATCCACCACACATATCCTGATTCGGTAGCTCAGCTTCTGGGGCACTTTTTCTGTGGGCGTAGGTGTCCACAGACCAGAAACCAGAGGAACCAGAGATAAAATAACTGGTGCATGATATCAAGCTGAGAACAAGGCCATGGAGTTGTCCAGTCAGAGAGTCACAGACTCTTACAACTAAAAAAAAAGAATATTTTGTACCAGCCTCTCATTTTCTACATGAGAAAACTGAGGCCCAAAGAAATTAAAGACCTTGTTCAAGATCACGTGCCTAGTTAGTAACTAGTTAGTTGGGGCCAGAACACAGGTATCCTGGCTCCCACTTTGGCGGTCACTACACCATTATGCTGCCTCCAAAGACAGTCCCTGGGCTGTGGGTTGGAGTGAGTGAACCAGGGTGGCTGCAGGTCTAAAGTCAAGGCAGAGGAGGCCTCAGCCCTCTTCTGGTCATCATGGGAAGATTTCTAGTAGGAAAATCACTCAAATGACAAGGAAAGGTGGGAGAGGCTGTGGGCAAAGACAGTTAACAAGGGCAGAGACAGCCAGCCTGACACAGGTGGCTATCAGCCATCCGGCAGCAGCTGAGCTCCGGAGAAGACGCGTGGCCCTGCTGTGCGCAGCCGGTCTACTGGGAAAACCTGGGGCTGAGGGAGACATGCTTCTCATCTAGCTCTGCTCTCTTGTTCACTTAATGTCATTGTGGTTCAATTTCTTGATCTATATATAACATGAAAGGGTTGTTGGAAGGATCCAAAGAAATAATTCATGTGCAAAGGCTTTGAAAAGTCAAAAAAGCCAGATAAAGGAAAGCCACATGGAGCTCTTAAGAAATGGAAAGAAGGGTGCACAGTCCCAGTTCTGCTTCATGGGGCTCACTGTGTAAGGAGGAAGAAGCACAGACAGATAAGTTCTCAACAAATAAGACCATTCTAGTTACTTCATTAAGGTATCCATGAGTTTAAGGAAAAAAAAAGAGGCAGGGGTACCATTGGTGGTTTGGAGCCTGGGAACAGTAATTAAGGATGACTCCATGAAGGAAGGCGCTTGTAGCTTCCATATAAAGAAAGAAAAGAGAGAAAAGAAGCATTGCCTGACTTCAGCTTTCATCAGAGCTTAGGGAGGTTTGGCTAGGTGTGGAAGTTTTCCTGGGTCAGCATCTGGGGCTGACCTCCAATGCTGTGTGTCCTGTACAGCCAATGGGCAGCTGGCCCAGACCCTGCAGCAGGCCTACCTGCCCGTCGTGGACTACGCCACCTGCTCCAGCTCCTCCTACTGGGGCTCCACTGTGAAGAACACCATGGTGTGCGCTGGAGGAGATGGAGTTCGTGCTGGATGCCAGGTAAACACATGCAGAAAGTGTCAGAAGTCCCACCCCGGGTCCCTCCCCTCCCTGCCCCTCACCTTTTCCTCACCTTCTGTTCCAAACCTACTCCACCCCTATGTATAGACTCAGCTTCCTGTTCTAGCATCTGAATGAGAATGATTCTGTGCTACTAAGTCTATGCTCACGGAATCTCAAAGTCGAAAGGAACCTTAAAATTCATCTGGCCTAGTGCCCCCACCTCAGAAGTTTGTATGTGGCCCAACGTTTGTGTGTTGGTATATGTGTGTGTTCTTTGGAGGTTTTTTGTAACCTAGCTTTTTTTTTTTTTTATGGCTGCAGTGGAGCTGAGCCTAGAGCAATGGTTGTAATTGTATATAAGGTAGCTCCCCTCCCATCAACCCCAGTTTTTCTTATAGCTCTTCCACCGCCACTCTTTTGACTCAGTAGTATTTATAGCGGTATGTATATAAGTGAATATGGTAGTGGAAAGTGCACTAAATAGTTTTATAATAGTTCATATATATATATATGTAGAATCATCTTCTATTTAGACAAGATCAATTGGCAATACGCCGTCTTACAGATTTCATAATGAAGTTCAACAAATGTTCCTGATCCTCTACTAAATGTCAGGCACTGTGTTTGATTCATCTTTGTATCAAAGATACAAAAGGTACAAAGATGAATATAAACACAGTTTCCAGTAGAGGAATGGGAGGAGCAGACATAGGACAGAACATTGTGGTACAATATGGTTAAACGTTATAATAAAGATATGCGTGGGGGGTGATATGGGAGCCCAAAAGATAGACACTTATCTCTGCCTATTGGTGTCAGAAAAGATTTGCTGTCCCTGAGCAAGTAGAGTCTATAATGAGTCCCGAAGTTTAAATAGGAGAAAGCCAGGCAAAAAAGGGGGAAAGATATTCACAGAGAGGGAACATCAAGAAAGGCATGAGCAAGAACCTAGAACACACAGAGAATCAGAGGGCACTCCCTACAGCTAGAGCAGCGGTCCGGGCCCACAGCCTCCAAATCCAGCTTTCTGCCTGTTTTTGTGTGGCCCACAGACTAAGAAGGGTTTTTAATGGTAGGGGAAAAATAAAGAAAGAAATAGTATGTCATGAGACATGAAAAATATAAAGTGCCAATGTTCATAAAAAAGCTTTTTGGAACACAGCCATACTTGTTCACATATTGTTTAAGGCTGCTCTCACGGAGCTGGGCAGTTGTGACAGACACCGTACAGCCACAAAGCCTACGGAATTTACTCTTTGGCTGTTTACAGAAATAGCTTGCTGACCTCTGGGCTAGAACATAAACTATTACCATACTAGGGAATGTCAGGAGATGACACCAGAGGCCAGTAGGAGCCACAAGGCTTAGGCCTTCAAATGTCATGCTTGGGGACATGAAATCTACCTTAGGCATTAGGAAACCCATGGAGAGTTTTAAACAGGAGAACAGCATGCTCATATTTGCCTTTTAGAAGCACTGATGATAAGGTAAGCATGTTTTTGAAGAGGGCAAAATGAGCAGGGAGACCGCTTAGGAGACAATTGCAATTATCTAGGCAAGAAATTTGACGGCCTGACTTAGGGCAGTGGAGAGGAGGGGAGGAGGAGAATGTGGAATGACTTCCAGGCATCTGATTTAAGGGATTTGGGGGAGGGGGGTGCTGCCTCAAATGAGACAAGATTTATAGGATTTGGTAGGGGGAAGGTGATGAGTTTGGTCCTGGACAAGTTGATTCTGAGATCCCAGTGTGACATTCAGTTAGAGTTAACCAGTGAGACATTAGATATAAAGAAAGTGGAGCCTGGAGGAGAAAGCCGGGCTAGAGATAGCCTTAACAGGGAACGAGATCCCTTGAAGTCCCCACCTCCCCAGGGAAAAGTGGTAGAATGAGAAAAAAACAGTGAGTTGGGGGAAGAACTGTGATACATAAGTATCTAAGTGCTTTAGGGATAGGTGAAGGCAAAGAACCCACAAGGATCTAAAAAATAGGTAAGAGAAAAACGTAGTTACAAGGGTTTTACAAAATCTCAAGAAAGACTGACAGGTCATCACATAATACACAGTGCAGCCAGGAGCCACGCTGGACAACTACCAGTGGCTACTTCAGCAGTTGGTGGGTCACTGGTAGCTATGGCCAGAGAGTTTCAATGAAGTAGTGAGGACAAAAGCTTGATCAAAGGGTAAGGAATGAAGAGGCAGTAAGAAACATACCAAGGAATGTAGAGCACTCTTTCAAGAATCTGGGATGAAAGAGGGTACAAAAGAAGTCTGGTAGCTGTAAGGAGGATGAAAGTCATGGAGGAGGTGGATCTTTTAAGAGGGAAGAAAATTGAATGTGTTCCTGGCAGAGAGGAAAGGCTCCTGTAGAATCGGAGAAAGGGAACAAATGCATAAAGATCCCAGAGGAGAAGGAAGAGATGGGACCAAGAGCACAGGAGAGGCTGGCTTTGAACAGAAGAGGGACACAGAAATGTGCCTGGACATGAAAGAGTGTGCAGGCTGGGGAGCTGGAAGTTGGCGGGTATTCTGCAATGCTGCTTCTATTTACCCATGAACTAGGAGTCAGACTGAATTCTGAGAATGAAGGACAAGGGTTGTACAGATCTAGATTAATTAAGGTGAATGGGAAGAAGGATTGGCCTCCAAGATGTTACTGATAGGCTGAGGTTGGAGACCACGCAATTACCACATGGGTTTATGATTCACTCCATTTTACTCAAAGACCTGGTTGTAGGGAGTGGATTAATCCAGGGCTGGGTTTTCATGTGTTATTAGGGACATAAAGACAGGACTGCAGATCAAACACAAGCTTCAAGCAAGGTGGAGGAGGAAGAGAAGCCAACAGAAGGCTGGTAGGCTGGCTGAAATAGTAGAATCAAAGGATTCAAGGGGTTGTGTGTGTGTGTGTGTGTGTATGCGCGCGCACTTAGAACTATGGAGGTAAGGTGATCAACTCATCCCAGTTTTCTCAGGACTTCCCAGGTGCCCACTGGGCGAGGGGTGGGGGAACACAACCTAAAAGTTGAGAGTTATATTTTATTTGGTGACCTTACTGAGAACTATATCGCAGAAGACAGCCTTTCAGAAAGCTCTGAGGAATTGTTCCAAGCAGGTAAGGGAGGAGCCAGGATAAACAGTTTTTCCTGGAAAATCAAAAACAAAAAAACATGGAGTTGCACATCAAAGATTACTGCTAATCACAAAAACCAGACATCTCAAGTTGATGATTTTAATGCTTTTCTATGCGTGGGAAGATGCGAGAGTCTGGGCTCAGAGAAATTATTCCTCTGGTCTGCATCATAACTATCTAGGGCCAGTATCCTCTTTTTCTCCATCCTGGAATCCCCTCAGGGCATACCATGGAGAGTGGTTGCAGTGGCTGGTGTAGCTGGTGGCTTGATGGCAGGCAACATTCTTTACTGAAATGGCAAGAAATATTGTTTTGTCCACACCGGTATTAAAACTGGGAACCCTACATGCAAGTAGGGGCAAAAAAAGAGACAAACGCATGAGTCAAGCTCTTCCACATCCTCATCAACCAGCTTCACCTATAATCTCAAAGTTTAATCTTCTGAGTTTAATTCACTTCCCTCTGCTCTCTCTCAAGGCCTTGAACTCTGAAAAACTAGAGTCCTTTTCTTCTGGCTGCCACTCGAAATTGGCAATTCTTGAGGCAATTATGTCTCCAGGTCTCTTCCTACTGGAGTTTCCCAAATACAGTGTTTTTGTTTTCTGCCTTCCCAACTCTTCTCCTCATAGTATATTCACTGAACCCCTCTGGCCTCAATCTACGCACTCCCACTGAGCTCCTTCCCCTATCTTCCTTCTGCCCTAAAATCCTCAGGCACACCCTCCATCTCTGCAAAGACTTTGTTTCTTTTCAGGTCAATTAGCATAAAACAACAGTATTATATTCAGTTACCTTATGTTCCTCTAGCTTAGAAATACTCTCAGATCCTTATCAGAATCTGAGTGGAAGATATTTAGGCTGTTTTGAGAACAGTAATCTAAAGAAAATATCATCCTTTCCTAAACATAGTTGGGGTGGGGTACAGCTATTTCCTTTTTAAAATAATTAGCACCAATTTGAACTTTTGGTCTCTTTCCCTAGTTCCTTATTTTTTTAGGTTTTAATTTTTATTGAAGCTGTATGTATTAAATTGCTTAAGGTGGCAAATAAAACTATGAGGCTTAGTAATGGAAAAGTACATGTGCTCTTCCTGCTACCTCAACTTTTCCCTCCCCGGAAGGGACCACTTTCAACTCTTTTCAGCTGATTTGGCGGGGGGAGGGGGGGTTGTCTACATCCACCTCTCTAAAAGCATATACCTCTATCGCAACTTTTCAGCTCACACATTTTGGGATATGTGGAATCTCTCTTCCTTTTACATATATATACTTGGCCTTCAAGTATGAACTTTTCTGATGTCCACCCCAACCTTCCAAAATAATTTTGGTTAGATTAACAATTTAGTGTTTATTATAATTATGTAAAATGCTGTTCACAAGCAAACGGTGTTGTATTCTAGGATTACTATTCATTCCCTGTATAACTTTGCTTACCCTGGAGTTAATAATTGTCTTTTTTTATTTGCATAATATACACTCAGCTTATCATGGGTTCAGCCCCTTACTCTCCACTAATTTATAAATAACCCATTTTTATGTTCTCTTGAGCCCTGTGTCTTGGTATGGGTCTATTTGCATTCATTGTGAAGGATACTTAGTGGGTTTTTTCATTCTGGAAACTCCAGACGTTTGGTTCTGAAATTGTTTATTTGTTAAAGATTTCCTTCCTTCCATTTTTATTTTCTCTTTCTAGAGTCTCTGTTATTAACACATTTATCTCCTAAACTGGTCCTCCTATTTTATTTTCTTCCGGTATTTTGTCTACTGTATCTTCCAATCCTTCCAATCTTACATTTCTTCAATCATATCATAATTTCCAAAGTCTCTTTTTGTTTTCTGAATGTTTTGTTTAATAACTTGCTGTTCTTGTTTCATGGATGCAACATTAATCATAGTTTTGTTGCCTGTATTCTTCTCCCCGAATACTTTTGGTTGCCTTCATTTTTTTTTGTTTATTTCTTTGTCTCTTTGTTTTGATCTTTATTTTTATATTGGTGAATTTCTTCAGATATTTGGTAATCCTTGACCATCTGCTCTTAGTTCAGAGTGGGATGGTGAAAAGCTGATAGGTAGCTCTGAGCCTTCAGTGGGGTTCATCTATAGTGAACTGCTTTGTCAGTGACCTGACTAGGCCATTTCACTGGAGGACCTCCAATGTTAGTATCTATAGGTCTTCGCTCTTGTGCTGATCAGATTCTGCGGAGAAATATCTTCCAATTTTGTGTATGGAATCACAGAACTGATATTCTGGGAACTGAGTAGGGAAAAGAATGTCAAGGGTATATTCTGTAAACCTAGGTTCCTCTTATTCTAAGCCCAAGCATGTATCTGCTACCCAATACATCACTTTCTATCCTCTTCACCCCAGTTTAGTTTAACATATGATGACTACCTACCTGTATCTAAATACTAAGTCTAATTAGATCCATTGGTTTATATTCTGGGGACAAAGAAATCATTAGAACACTTTACTTCTCCAACCCCGGGTTCATTTTAAGTCAGTAGCAGCTATTGAGCTTAAGAAGATCGAAGTTCTATGCTAGCATTGTAGAGAAGAAAAATATCAGTAAGAGAGAGTTCCTGTCTTAAGCAGCTCATAGATTATGCATGGGAAGTAGAAAGAAATTATGAAACCAAAATACAAGGCAGAACATGACATAAATGCTGCAAAAGAAAGGAAGAAATTCTATGGTTGTTTAGGCAGGAAGAAGAGATTCATCTTGATTGTGGGGATATGAAGCAAATAGGAATCTGAATTGGAGCTTTTAAACAGCACAGGATTTTACAAATAGAGATGGGGATGGGCAGAGTGTAAGCAGAAGCAAAGGCAACAGATCTGGAGTTTTAGGACTCTGCTTCTCCTCTCTGCAGGGTGATTCAGGGGGCCCCTTAATTGCTTGGTGAATGGCCAGTATAGTGTCCACGGTGTGACCAGCTTTGTGTCCAGCCTGGGCTGTAATGTCTCCAAGAAGCCTACTGTCTTCACCCGGGTCTCTGCTTACATCTCTTGGATAAATAACGTGAGTCCTCGCAAATGATGGGTTGAAACAGGGTCACCTGGAGACCCATGCACTGGCTGGGGTGGGGAACAAAAGTTGGGCAGGGGAAGCCATCATCTTCCTCACCACATTCAAATGTTTACTCCTTTCCCTTCCCTCCATAGTGCATTTTCCCTCAATAATGCTGCCATCCTAACTTCCCCATCACATACTCACTAAGCAGGCTTCACCACATTGTCTACTGCTTAGGGTAATAAGACAGTGGCAACAGCAGATCTGAACTAGGTACATATCAGTACTGTCCTGAGTCACAGTCAAGGGGAAAATGGCTTCAGAAAGGCCTGCGTGCTCCTGGGCAAGTAAAGGAGCGCTGACTTTCTCCCCCTCCAGCTCTTCCTAAGGGCATTGTGAGAATTTGCTCTACTCTTTGGAAAGAGGTTTTACCACCTTCAACAACGCTTGAGGGTTAGGTGAGACTCTGCCCACGCTGACCCTGGTGGTAGAGCCTCACAGTCATCCCACCTGTACCCTCCAGCCTTCTGGAGCCTTGTGGCATGAACCTTAACTCACAACTGTTGCAAGGTCTGCCCTTGCCACGAAGTCCTGAGTATGTGCCTGTAACGCTGAATTGTCCTGACATAGCTGAGGACTCCTTCTGGCCTCCCCACCTTCTCAACTCCCCATAAACCCAGTATAGGGCCAACTCAACTGGGAGCACTGAAGAAAAAAGAAAGGAGGTGGGTGGAAGTTGCTGACTGGATATAACTGGTTTTTCTTCAGGCCATTGCCAACAACTGAATATTTTCCTGAGTCCATCGGCCTTGCCAAGGTGATTCTTAGGTCCACAGCAGGACTTGAGGCCATCAAGCAAAAAACACTGTAAGAGACTATTGAGCCAGATATAGAAAAACAAATAAAACTGAACATACATATTACTCTGTGTCTTTTTATTTGCAATTAAGCCCTTTAGAGGAAATGCAACTATAGGACCAAAGTCGGATTTCACCACATTTCTGGGATGGTTCTTCCAGTTGCTGCCACCTCTGTCAGTTCACAAACTAAGCTAAGTGGGAGTGGTCTTACATTATCTTTTGTGGATTATTTTAGGATCTACCTATCCATTCATCTGTCCATCTGCCCCTCCTCCCATGCATATTTGCTATATTCAGAGGCACAGAGGGCTTTAAAATGTTCCCGAGTGACTAAATGTGCCCTGATGCTCCTAGGTAGACTGTGAGCTCATCCTTCTTTTGTTTCTTGCTTCAGTGCCCAGAACAGTGTTTACCCCAAGGCTCTGGGCCATGGCAACTACTAGGATACATTAGAGATATGAGTATATGATTAGGTGGTGGGTCAGATACCAGCAGACAATGAAAGCGAAAAATTAGAAAGGACACTACAGAGGAAAGAATAGAAAAAAGGAGAAAAGAAGATACGAAACAAAGAAAGCAAAGGGTTGAGGGGAAGAGGCAGAACAAAAGGGAGAAGAAACAATAATACGGGGCCTCAAACTAATTATGAGTCAGCACTTCAAGGCTGGGACTAAAATAGGCAACCGGATCCGGGGTTCTGTAAACCACAGAGAACTGGGAAGCTGATAATTCTATCCTACCCTGGCCAGGAACTCAAGTCTGTTAGAGTGGCCTATGTAGAGTAAAGAGGGAACTGAAAGAAGAAGGCTAAGAGGATGAGAAGCAGCTTTTCATCGCAATCACTGAGGACCAGAGGAGAGGAGCAGGGTAGTTAACACTGTAGCAGGAGAAACTGGCTAAGACCGGTCCTGGAACCGGTTGGCTGCTTTGTCAGCAGAGGCTTCTAGAAAGAAGCTTGGCTAGAGTCAGGACACCTCTATTCCCGTCTCACTTCTCCCACCGAGGAACTGGGTAACCTTTCTGTTACTCAGTTTCACTACCTAGTTAACTTCTGAAGATTTTTCCTACATGATTTTGGTGACCGTCAATTTCAGTTCCCAAGGGGTAGGCACTGAAGAGGGATTCTGAGGAAGTAGTGGCTGGGCTGCATTGCTGAAGATGCTGTGAATTCCTGGGAGTAAATCAGGTATCGGCCTTCTGCTAGGGACACACATCTGTTATCATCGCCATCTTCTCCCAGTGTTCCCACAGCCCCACCATCCTCTGGCTTCTATCCACTTCTCCCCATCCAACATCGAGTCCTTCCATTGTCTTCATTTTGCCCCTTCTAGACCATCTCTACAGTTAACATTAGAACGGAATAAACCCTAATGACCTATTACCTGAATATTTTGTATCCATCTCTATAAATGAATTAAGCACATTGCATTATAATCACCTGATTACCAACCTATCTCCACTTCCAGACTTGAAACATCTTAAAGTCAGGGATCACATTTTTAAAATTCATTCTTGCCTTCCCAACACCCAGCAGTGCCTGTCACAGGTTGACCCTGAATGCAGTACATCTGCCTGGGGGAATAAACTGGAAAACAATAGCAGACAAGGCCCTACGATTTTGTCTCAGGCCTCCAGCTTCCCTCTCCACTCCTTAGTAAAGGTATTTTGACCCTCTTCCCTTCCTTCAGGGAATTTTACCTGCACTGTAAAATCCTTGAGTAAACGGTCCCTCCAAACCTAGTGTCCTAATTAGGTCAAGGAGTAGGTTCCTTTTGGAGACCTTCTTCCTATTTGTAATCAGCGGTTGTGATCTCAGCAGTCCTATCTCAACTTTCACAATCTCTGTTCTCATATCCTGCCTCATCTAGTACACTGGACTCGTTCATCCAGCTGGAAAAATGTGCTCCCCACCCCCAGCACAGGCTTCCATAACCTCCTCCTCAGCCTGTTTTCAATCAGACGTCTCCTTTCCTAAGCGGGCCCCGTCTCCCCTTCTAGCTCAGTTGTTCTCCCTTTCAAACCCAGATCTGGAGTCCTGTCCCCTTTGCGCATCCGACCCCTACCAGTTCTGGGTTTAGAGCCAACCTCTCTGATACAGGCTTTCCATCTTTATAAAGACGGCGCCCTGGAGTAAGAAATCCATTTTCCTGGGTGACCCAGTACACATACCCGTAGAAGTCAAGCACGCTTTCCGACACAATACTCTAGTTGAGTGCAAATCGCTGTTCTCCACGCTATCATTTCAGTTATTTCCCGTGCTCATCGTGATAGCTAATCGGCTTTCGGGAACCAACGCGTCTTGGCCAGTTTGAGAACGGTGCAAC